TGCAAAGCTGTATCAAGCTTGAATGTTGTGTCCATACTTGCCCCAACTGTTCAGGGTTCGATTTCTGCGGTCGTATCAAGCTGCGCCCTGCCGAGCATTTTATCTTTATATAGTTTAACTTGTTTCAGTGGTCACCTAATTTTTACACAAAATCGTCATTTAATAACGGTCATTTTAATATTTTTAACTCACTAAATAAACAGGACGAAAAATATATGCTTTCAGTATGGAAGTCAAAAAGATCGTGCAATGGGAGCTTGAGGTGATTTAGTGAATTCCTCATGTTCCACACCTTTCCGTTTCCATTAAAAACCGTATCATCAACTTATTTCTCCACGAATATAAACATATTTCGAATGTTTTCTTCAAATTTACAACAACCGAATCCACCATTTTTTATTTTACTGATGTGAGAAAGATAATTCTACAGATTGAAAACACTAAAACAGTGTGCATCGATCCTGGCTGCTAGATTCTGATTTGACCTTTTCCTTATGCTATAAAAGTTTACTCCATTAAACACTAGTCAGCTAATAAGGGAGAATAGGATAATAATTTTAACTTTTGTCTTACTGATCAGACAGAAATTCATTGTATAAATTTAATTTTTAGATTTCAATCATTTCATTCAACAGCTTAAGTATTCTTTGATCAAATGTTACAAAAATTTACATCAGAATAAGACCAGCTTATATTTTAAAGGCAAATGATAAATATGAGGTCTTCAATGTATGTTTCCTTGAAATTTTGACAAAAATTCAGTGCATATGTTGATAAGCACTCTTGAAATATGCAAAGTAAAATAAACCTTCATGACTTACTTTTAGATATATTTCAGTTTGAAATTTGAATAATTCAAGTAAAAAATCTCAATACTTTTTAAAAAAATTAACAGCGTTCAATTAGGAAGAGATATTTTGCACCTGTTTTTACAAAGCGTTTCTTAATTTATTGGCCTTTAAGTATGTTCCGAAAATAAAATCAATAAGATTGTCATTTCACTTGGAAAACGTCAATTTTAAGACACTTAATGACATCCATGGTTCAAAGTTTGATATCAAGTGAAACCACCACGTGCTTGGATGACGGCCTCAACCCTGTGTCTCATCCCTCCAATCAATCCTTAGATTTTCTGCATTAATAGCTGTCGTCATTCCCAGTACAATGCTGCTTCCAATGGCATAAGTTTTATAGAGGACTGCCTGTAGATGATTACCTAATATGTCCCAAACATGCTCTATCGGATAAAAATATGGGCTCATGGCTGGCCATGAAAGAGAAGTCACAGCTTCACCTTGAATGATGCGGCCTGGCATTGTCATCCATTAACACAGGTCTTGCAGCAGATGGAGGGTTGTCAAAATGAGGGACAATAACTGACTGAAGAACTTCTTCTAATGTATTGATCACCTGTAAGGTTTTCTCAACTTGCAATCATGAGAGATGCACCACCATATCATTACAGAGCCTCCACTGTAAGGGACAGTTGGTTGGATGTTCCTTAGGGTATGTGCCATATTTTTCTGTCTCCAAACTCTCATTCCTCCATCTGTTACATGCAGAAGGAACATACTCTTGTCCAACCAATGAATCCTACGCCAAGTCCTCAAGTTAACGTTCCAACCATGTAGCGGTAAACACAATGCCATACATAATCATTGATGTCCATCAGATTACATGGGACAATCACATCTAATAGTAATTAATCCCCTTCACTTAAGATATGCAGATTTGAATCGGTTTCTGACTGTTCTGGTTGAAAGACGTCTATTAGGTAACCATTGTCTTTTTAGAACAGGACTAGTTTCAAATGGCATTCGTCTAACCATGTGATGCAGTGCCTTGTCTTCACGCTGCAATGTTATGGGTAGTCGACCGGATCTTGGCATGTCTTTCACAGAGTAGTTTGGATGTGTTTTTTCACCAGCCTGCTGACTACAGTATAGGGATAGCCCATCTGATGTCCAAAAGCTTTAAAGGACATCCCTGTTGACGGCATGCCGATAATTTGCCATCTGTGAGCCTCCAACATTCTTCTAGAACCATGTTCACAGAGAATGAATCAATTTTTCAAAACACTTGGACATACATAATTTTGGATATTGCATGATACCTCAATATCTCAATTACCGGTCACACCTGTATGATCACATCTTTTTAATGGAATAGTGGTCTTGTTAAAATCAATATTTGTATTTAAATTGAAGTTCTAGGTAACATGTTATAATTCCATATATCAAGGGGACCCTTTATATCATTATCTTACGTTCATCTGAACTATTTTCCCCAAGAAATAACGTGGGAAGAACTGCTTAAACTCAATGATGCTAGATAAAAATACACGGATTTTGCACAACCGTTTCTGTTATGCATTATATCGTCTTCTAGTAAATATCGGGTATTGGAAACATGTTTATAAAATAACTAAGCTGGTCCTCGACTGACTAATACACTGTGTTAAGTCTGCGGTTATATGCCAATCTGAACCATGCACTATCAATGTAATTGTTAATGTCAAAAATAGAATTTATATTAAAACTGAAAAAGTATGAAGTCTATGAAGTTTATTGTTCTTTAATAGTTTAATGGCTTTATCATACATGGTAATATCCACCTTTTGTTATGGGGGAACCTGTCTAAAGGGATAAAAAACGGGATTGAAAAAAAATGTCCGGCTGGCTCAAATATTTTTTGGAAGCCCTGCAAGGGTTGCTTAACTTTTTTATTGTGTATATATAAAATTATTTGGAGATGTGATGTGATTGCCAGTTAAACAAAAGACTGAGGGTGAGGATGAAAAAATTACTTGTAAAGTTACAAAAATTCCGCCGATATTTTTACAGTATGAAAGAATGTAAACATACATGCACTGGGAGGTAAATAGTAATAACTGATTCTAAAAAGTACAAATTAAATACAACAAATCATTTAGCAACTGTCAAGAAAAAGTTAAATTTACAAATTGAAATGCATGGAAAGTATAGAAACAATAATATTATTGTCGTGGCTCTATTAATTCACTTATTTGTCACGTTTTCCACTTGCTCTGTGTTGATTGTTTATCAATATCATGATCCGGTAAATTTCGGCAACAAACTCTAAAGTTGATTAGCTTGCGATAAACAATCACTGAATGAAATATTATTTGTTGATAGTAAGTTATAGATTCACAATGCTAATAAAAAATGTACACAAATGCATGCATTGGTTCAATAATTTCGATAACATTAAAATTACAAGAAACTCGTTTAATATGACTTTAATATATTATGTCCTAGTTTCACTAGTGGAGGGGGATCTGCTTACCCTTCCTGAGCACCTGAGATCCTCTTAGATTTGTTTAAAAGAGGTTTGTGTTGCTCTGGCTTAAGTTTCAGTGATATACCAGGCCAGTAGCCAGGAATTTCAAGGGGGGGTTACATAAACTCGCGAAGCTCACTTTAACAGTTACAATTCAAACGGAACGTCGACTTTAACAGTGCTTAATTGTTTTCAAGGGGGGTTGGTACGAACCCCCCACCCCCGGCTACGGATGTGTATACTTTGTGCTTTTTGAATTTTTAAATGTCTATGTTGTTTCTACTTGTAACATTCTTGTCTATCCTTTGTCCGTGTATTAATTTGAAATGAAAATTTTACATATATATCTGTGTCAACAGTTTATAAATTTAACAATGGACATGAAAGAAAGATTAACTATTGCAATGTCAGGAAATGGTGCATACAAGAAATGCTATCAAAATTGAAAACGTGAGTTGTGTTTTATTTTTTGTGAAACCAATCCCCAGGACTGTCACAATTTTCACAATGATACATCATAAAAATATATGAATTAGCAGTATAGATTAAGAAAATTCAACTAAGAGAGCAATCTCTAATCGAGTTAGAACTCCTTTTTTTCTGATTGATTGGAATACATCTATACTACTAAAATAATGAGTTCCAATTCATTAGCCGGCATGACCTAAAAACGACGAATCATAGAATTCAACTTTATATATAACTAATATAGGGTAATGGTGTTGATTAAGAATTACACCATTCCAGGCCCTTTTGTTTTCCACATAAATAATATTACCAATAATTAACAAGTTACTGGTCAAAAAACGATACCAATAGTATATATGTCACATGTAGTTTCCGATTGTAGTAAGAAAACCAGGATGGGTTCAAACAGAAAGATTTTGAAAGCAGAGAAAACTGTGCATCTTACAATCAGCATGACTTTATCAGATGACAATATGAATACTATAAATCCAGGCTAAAAATAAGGCATAGGTACTTTAATTCAGTCCCGGACCTGCGATGTCGTGGGTGTGTTCTAGTTGTTAAATATATAAAAAGATAAAATGTTTTTATCTGCTTTATACATTTCAAAGCAAGGCTGTCCATTTATCTTTCTAGTCCTTTGACCAGTTTCTATTAACAATTATTATCACTAAAAATCCTTTGTTTACATATTTTTTAGTCTAATAAGTTTCCCAAATATTTGCATATTTGAACTTGCTTTTGACTCCCGTAAAATTGGTTCTGTGGAGTCCACAAATAATGTAGCAACTTCGATTAAGTTAAAGGGTTATACAATTTACTTGTTTGTTTTCCCATTAGCATTTAGATACAGTCTATAGCTAAGATTAACATTTTTTAGACATCAATAATTTTGTCAAACCCTTATGGAATTCAATATAGTCTCCTGTCAGGTGTTTATTTTTTTTACATAGCAATGACAACTAAAAGTAGACTAGACGCAATTGATTTAATTTAAATGCTAAAAATCCCATGTCCCTTGTTCATGTAACTAACAGTTTCATAGCTTTTGTTGGTTATTGATGAAACTAAGTCAACATTGCATATTTTGTATGCTTAATATTCAATCTTAAATTTAGATTTAAGTCTCAAAAGATAATCACCCTCACCTCATTTGGTGTTTTTTTCTGATAGTTGTCTCACTTTAAATCATAAATCATTTCTTATTTTGATATTTTTATTTTATTTTTCAGAAATTTACAAAAAGTCCTGGAAATGGGCACACATGTGATCTGCCATCTAATCCCTTTACTGGCCAGAAAGCACTAAAATTTGATCCCGATGGAAAGAGAATAGACTATATTTTGTATAGGTGCAATAAAGGTAACTGAACAATATTTTAATATAAATTTAAGGAGTGGGGTATATGTCAAGGTAGAATGAATAATCTGTCCCTTGTGTGTTTATTTTTGTCATTTCATATTTCCTTTTTAGCTCACCTTACCTAAAAGGCCAAGTGAGCTTTTCTCATCATTTGGCGTCCGTCGTCCGTTAACTTTTACAAAAATCTTCTCCTCTGAAACTACTGGACCAGATTTAACCAAACTTGGCCACAATCATCATTGGGGTATCTAGTTTAAAAAATGTGTCCGATGACCTGGCCCGCCAACCAAGATGGCCGCCATGGCTAAAAATAGAACATAGTGGTAAAATGCAGTTTTTGGCTTATATCTCTGAAACCAAAGCATTAAGAGAAAATCTGACAGGTTGTCAAATTGTTTATCAAGTAAAGATCTATCTGCCCTGAAATTTTCAGACAAATCAGACAACCCATTGTTGGGTTGCTGCCCATTAATTGGTAATTTTAAGAAAATTATGCAGGTTTTGGTTATTATCTTCAATATTATTATAGATAGAGATAAACTGTAAACAGCAATAATGTTCAGCAAAGTAAGATCTACAAATAAGTCATCGTGACCAAAATGGTCAATTGACCCCTTAAGGAGTTATTGCCCTTTATAGTCATTTTTTGACAATTTTTTGTAAATTATTGTAATCTTTTACAAAAACCTTCTCCTCTGAAACTACTGAGACAAATTTAATCAAACTTGGCCACAATCATCATTAGGGTATAAAGTTTAAAAATTGTGTACGATGACCCCGTCTGCCAACCAACATGGCCAACATGGCTAAAAATAGAACATAGGAGTAAAATGCAGATTTTGGCTTATATCTCTTAAACTAAAGCATTTAGAGCAAATCTGACACGTGGTAAAAATGTTCGTCAGGTTAAGATCTATCAGCCCTGACATTGTCAGACAAATCAGACATTCTGTAGTTGGGTTGCTGCCCCTGAATTGTTAATTTTAAGGAAATTTTAGTTTTTGGTTATGTTCTTTAATATTATTATAGATAGAGATAAACTGTAAACAGCAATAATGTTCAGCAAAGTACGATCTACAAATAAGTCAAACATGACCAAATGGTCAATTGACCCCTTAAGGAGTTATTGCCCTTTATAGTCAATTTTTAACAATTTTTTGTAAATTTTAGTAATTTTTTACAAAAATCTTCTCCTCTGAAACTACTGAGACAAATTTAACCAAACTTGGCCACAATCATCATAAGGGTATATAGTTTAAAAAATGTGTCCGATGACCCCACCTACCAACCAACATGGCTGACATGGCTAAAATTAGAACATAGGGGTAAAATGCAAGTTTTGTCTATTATTTTTTGAACCGTTATAAATAGAGAAAATCTGATAGGAGCAAAAATGTTCAGAATAATGAGCTCTACCAATTCTCCAAATATATCAAAACTGTAAGACAAATTCTTATAGGAGTTATTGCCCATAAATGACACCATTTTTTTCATTTTTGCCTATTATCATGAAAACTATGATATTTAGAGAGAAACATTTTTTTTCTGTTATGCCTTATATGATTTAAATTATAATAGATAAATAAACACTTTAAATCACAAAAATGATCGGCAAGGCAAGATCTATTAAAAAGTCAAATTTTGCCGATATAGTTAGTAGACTGTCACTCTTCATAGGAGTGATTGCCCTTAAATGAGATTTTTTTTTACCCTCTTTTGTGTTTTGAGCAAAAACTAAAGAAAATAGAGAGAAACTAAACAGACTAAAAGATAAGTAATACAAGATCAATAAAATAGAGATTTTTGTCATGATGTCTATTCTCGTCTACAATGTTGGAGAGTGTCCTTTGTTTGATATGCACATAGACCAAGGTGAGCGACACAGGCTCTTTAGAGCCTATAGTTATCATTTGGACTTTTTTTTTCTAATTTTCTTTTTGCCACACTGTGTCCAAATGTCAAGGAAAGAACAATACAACAATGCTTAAAGATTCTGTGCATATGAACATGGTGCAAGCAGTTGTTATGATTAACAGCAGGCCTACCAGTCAATACTTGTAACATTGCTGTTGGGTCTGTAAAAATTAGGTCTACAGGTCAATAGAGTCTACATATTTTTTTGTAAAATTGAGTTTCTGGCCTTTGGCTTCAAAAGTTAGTTGTGAAGAATGCACTTGAGAATAATGGAACATTGCATTTGACTATATAGGCCAAACAATTACCCTGGAGTCATAATTTAAGGCATACAGTTTTTAATTTATCATTCACTTTCCTCGAAAACTACTGAATGAATTTCAATTTAATGCTTTGTTATGCATTATGTAATATATAAGAGTTTGATTGTTTGATAAATACTTATGTCCAGCAGCAAATATTACATGCAGGATGATAGCATGTTTATTAGATGTTTTGATAAAAAGAATGTCGATTAACATAAGACAGACTGAGGTTTTAAACATATTTTTATCCTGAATTTTTTCTTGGTATTTGACCCATGATATTAAAAGCATTCACCAATTAATCATTCTGCCAAATTCAGTTAATGGATGCCAGCCAGTCTTATACATCACTTCCTCTCCACTATCTTTAGTTTACCAATGAATTTTGTTATTGCATACATACTTACTTATTTTGAGATCGAATTTAATTTGAAAATTGGATTTTTATAATAACTGGGGATGGAATGTATATATATGAGCCCCAGGCTTGTTTTTTGTCTGAACTTTGAAATCGTATGTATGTTATATAATATCATTTGGCTTAGAGAGTATCTGTTTTGATATTACGTGTCATTATCTTAATTATCATGTCTATACAAGTTTAGGATAATAGCTGGTAACTTCCTGTTTCTGAAGTTCAATTACACAAGTACACTAGTTTATGTCTAATTTAGTTTTTTTGGCAAATAATGACCAATTTTTTATGAAGTTTGTAAAGTCTGTCAAATGGACTGGGTGTTAATTGAGGAAATGATTATTTATACTAAAGATTAGAGTTGCATTGTCAGCTTAAATTTAGGAATTGAATCTTTGCCTTGTCTGCAACAAAAGTTGTGAAGGTGAGACATAGCAATCCAGCATTCTGTTTTCTGTTTTATCGTGTCATCAACATTTAGAAACAGTCTAGGGTTTTATATTTTTTGGACATCATTAACTTTGTCAAATCTTTATAGAATGTAATAAAACATGGACACTAGCTTCGTCATGATTAAGAAATCCTCTGGAGGAAAAGTTTGGGAATAATTTTTTTCCTTTTCCTTATTTTACTGATAGATGGACTTACATAGTCCTAATAAGTGTAAATCCTGCTTTCCCACATAAATAAAGGCTCATGCCTGGACGTCTAGAAAAAGGTCCTGTCGACCCTTTTTATTGCCCTTTAAAAGATTTTAAATATTGCAGCAGGCAATGTATAATAATGTGATGACTTTTGTCTGAATTTGAGTTCCTGTTAATTTGTAAATCTAATACTTTAAATGTTTTAAAGATTGAGCTGTTTTTGTAGGTACTTCTGTTACACTAGAAGAATGCAATGTTACTATGGGAACCATACCAGACAGGAAGTATCCATATTCTGATCATGAAGGGGTAGCTGCAATATTCAATGTTGAAAAGACTGAAAGCTGTAAGTTTGTCCTACTTAAGGATGTACTAGGATCAGGTTTAGGAATTTTTGTCAGATATTCGGACTCCTTGGGTATTTTCCTATGATACAGGGTAAAATATTTGGCCCCATATCACCCACTTTTCTTTTCATTGAAGACTTCAATAGCTCTTAAAAAGGTCATTACCAAAATTTTTTTCTTACGATTTGAGAACCAAATAATGCCTATGCTAAATATAAGGTAAAAGTCCGAGTCAGCCTTTTCCCGCCATTTTTTAAAAATAAAATATCTCAAAAAGGAGTTCCATAACCTATCATTATTTTTTACTTATTTTGTTCCCTATAAGTAATGCTCTTCTGACTTATAGTATCAATTTTAAATTCTAGATTTTTTTAATTTCACCTACATGTAAGTACATCCTTAAGGCTAACATTTGTTAATATCTCTGAACATTGAAAAGTACATTCTGTTTAATGTAATATTAGATATAAGATGATTCTACCATAATATACTGAGTAAAAAAGATAAGCAACTTACATTTTAATTAAAAATCTTTAAATAAATAATTTCCAATTTTTTACATGTCACTGTATTAATCATTTTCAAGAAGCACGGTTTATTCGATTTGTTACAAAATTTATTTATTGTTAATACATTTATATTTAGGTAGTTGCTAATTAGTTGGGGGTAGGCTAGGGGTAAAAATAAAAAATCACAATCTTGAACAGTTGTTGTTGATGCTAGAATAAGCTACACTTCTTGCCCTCTTGAACATTCAAAACAGGGAGACAAAAATAAATGTGAGGTTTTTCCACCTTCTTATGTCCTACATTTCACATTTATGTGCACTGATGTTGATGCCATGAGAAGAATAGTGGTGAGTACAAACTCTATTAATGTTAGAACTTTAAATGAAAGGAGATGTGGGTATACATCAAAGAGACAGCAACCCAGGACATCAAGAGGAAAAAAGTCTTTAACAATATAAAGGCCTAGGGCTCTCTGTCATAAAACTTTACTCAGTACTTAGAGTAAAAATTTGTGCTCGAAAACACCAAATCCAGTATTATGATTGGTTTATTTCTGAGTATGAGTTTTTTGTTACTGCGAGGCTACGTGTCAATACAAAAATGTTCTCCAGTCTTTACCAGTTTTTATATATATAATAGACATGTTTCCACATAATAATTGTCCTTAGTCTATAAAAATTGTGAATAAATTTAAAGAAACAATAAAAAATCTGTCATTTTTGTCGAGCCTGCGACTTTTGTCGCAGAAAGCTCGACATAGGGATAGTGATCCGGCGGCGGCGGTGTTAGCTAACTTCTTAAAAGATTTATATTTTAGAAACTAGAAGACCTGGATGCTTCATACTTTGTATATAGATGCCTTATGTTACGAAGTTTCCATCTGTCATATATCCATTGTCCTTGACCTCATTTTCATGGTTCAGTGAGTACTTGAAAAAAAAGTCAACATTTTTTGTAATGTTAATTTCTTTCTTATTATGAGTAATAGGATAACTATATTTAGTATGTGCGTACCTTGCAAGGTCCTCATGCCCGTCAGACAATTTTCATTTGACCTCGACCTCATTTCATGGATTAGTGAACAAGGTTAAGTTTTCGTTGTCAAGTCCATATATCAGATACTATAAGCAGTAGGTCTACTATATTTGGTATATGGAATTATTGTAAGGTGTACATGTCCAACTGGTAGGTGTCATCTGACCTTGACCTCATTTTCATGGTTCAGTGGTCAAAGTTAAGTTTTTGAGTTTTGGTCTTTTTTTCTAATACTATATGCAATAGTTCAACTATATTTGGTGTATGGAAATATTTTATGATGTACATGTCAGTCTCGCAGGTTTTATTTGACCTTGACCTCATTTTCACGGTTCATTTCTCAGTGTTAAGTTTTTGTGTTTTGGTCTGTTTTTCTTCAACTATAAGCAATAGATCAACTATATTTGTTGTATGGAAGGATTGTAAGGTGTATATGTCTGTCTGGCAGGTATCATCTGACCTTGACCTCATTTTCATGGTTCATTGGTCAATGTTAATTTTTCATGGTTAAGTTTGTTTCTTATATACTATAAGCAATAGGTCAACTATATTTAATGCATAAATTGATTGTACGGTGTACATGTCTGTCTGGCATGGTTCATTGGTCAATGTTAAGTTTTCTTGGTTAAGACTGTTTCTTAGAAACTATAAGCAATAGGTCAACTATGTTTGGTTTATTGAATGATTTTAAGGTGTACATGTATTTCTCATTTGGTTTATCTGACCTTGACCTCATTTTCTTGGATCATGTTAAGTTTATGTGTTACTTGTATTAAAGCTTTATATTTAGGACTATCAACATACAATTAATGGTTAGTAAAGAAGGCGAGACATTTCAGCATGTGCACTCTTGTTCTTTTTTTCAGCTGCTGGTACAGAAACAATTAGGGCAAGTAGGATTGAGGGAAACGTAAACAATTGTCTAACTGCTATAGAGAAAGGGTTGAAGAAAGCATCTAGTGACTGTACATTCTACACTGTCCTTGCCGTCATGTCGGTCTTTCTGTTATACATCATATCAGCTGTCGAAGTCCCATACGGTCTAGGATTAGTACGAGGTTTTGTTCTTGTTTTACTTACCTTGACTTTTGGGTATGCTATATGGAACCGTCTGATTCTAAATAAAATGGAGGAAAATGGACTTATAAATTCAAAGAAAGATATGGAGAATTATTTAGTGTTTCTACAGACCGAGATGAAAACATCTTGATACATTAAATTCATTTCGCTTTAGTTTTTCTTTATTTATTACTATATTTGTTTCGGGGTATTTATTTTTTGTATGCCTTTTATCCTAATGTGCAAATATATGTCTTTCATTTACAACTTTATATCTCTTTATGATCAGGTAATTAGGGAACAAGTTGAGGGAAAATATGACAAATGTAAAGGAAAATTTATTTTTGAGCAATGTTTTTTTGTTGAAAATTGTTTTATTATTACATACATGTATTAAGATATTTAATAATCTATTGTTGTTTATTATACCCCCGCTTTAAAAAAGGGGGGTATACTGTTTTACCTCTGTCTGTCCTTCCGTCAGTCCATCCGTCAGTCCGTCCGTCCCATGAATATTTTCATCGCATTTTTCTCAGGAACTACTTGGCAAGGATTTCTGAAATTTGGTTTCAGGGTTTATATAAGTAAGTTACACCGTGTGATGGGTTTTCAGATTTATCACTCAGCAACTTCCTGTTTAAACACTTTTATTATTCTACACATGATAGCCAAGTTGAAAATTTTCGTCACATTTTTCTCAGTTTTTCTCAGGAACTACTTGACAAGGATTTCTGAAATTTGGTTTCAGGGTTTAAATAAGTAAGTTACACCGTGTGATGCGTTTTCAGATTCATCACTCAACAACTTCCTGTTTACCGAACACTTGTATTATTTTACACATGATAGCCAAGTTGAAAATTTTCGTCACATTTTTCTCAGGAACTACTTGACAAGGATTTCTGAAATTTGGTTTCAGGGTTTATATAAGTAAGTTACACCGTGTGATATGTTTTCAGATTCATCACTTAACAACTTCCTGTTTACCGAACACTTGTATTATTTTACACATGATAGCCAAGTTGAAAATTTTCGTCACATTTTTCTCAGGAACTACTTGACAAGGATTTCTGAAATTTGGTTTCAGGTTTTATATAAGTCAGCTTTACCGTGTGATGTGTTTTCAGATTCATCACTCAACAACTTCCTGTTTACCGAAATATTACCGTGGGGGTATCATCAGTGAGCAGTAGCTCACAGTTTTACTTGTTATATCATGAATCATTCAATTACCCACAAGCCTTGTAGCCTGTAGCCCAGACAAGCAAATAATCCATAGAAAACCCTTATATTGATATTTCAATGTTAATAAAGTCACATGTGGTTAATTGATAAAATTGAGAATGGAAAAGGGGAATGTGTCAAAGAGACAACAACCCGACCAAAGAGCAGAAAACAGCTGAAGGCCATCAATGGGTCTGCAACACAACAAGAAAATTCCGTACCCAGAGGCGGGCCTCAGCCTGCCCCTAAATAAAAATGTGTACTAGTTCAGTGAAAATGGACGTCACACTAAACTCCAAAAGATATAAATGAACTAAAATTAAAAAACATACAAGACTAACAAAGGCCAGAGGCTCCTGACTTGGGACAGGTGCAAAAATGCGACGGGGTTAAACATGTTTTGTATATCATATTTAATTTTCATTTGTTATTTTGTAAATATATATATAGGCTGTTGGTTTTCTTGTTGTCCTCTGTGCCATGTGTTGCGAGGATATAAAAATACTGAGTGTCTGTGCATCTGTCCGTCTGGTCTTGTTAGCTCTCTTGTGTGTACAATTCTTCCCAGATTTTTTACCAAACTTATATCATAGGTTTAAATCAGCAATGTCTCGGACAAGCTCGATAATCAGTGCCGATTAACTATTTTTAAAAGAGTATAATTTTTACTCTTTATCATTTTTTATTTTCATTTGTTGTTTTGTACATATATCAGGCTGTTTGTTTTCCTGTGGAAATATTAATCATATGGAAAATCGCATTGTTAGCACTCTGACGTGTACAATCCTTGCCCGATTTTTATGAAACTTATATCATAGGTTTATTTTAGCAATGTCTCGGACAAAGTAGAAAATCATTGCCATTCACATATTTTTTAAAGAATTCGGCACCTTGGAAATAATAATTATATGGGAAATTGCATTTTTTAGTTGTCCTTGAACAGATAAAATATAAATGTATGTGCAATGCAGGTGACATTGGAACTCTGTTGTTTTAATTTAATTGTTTAAGTTTTGTTATGTTGGGGCCCTTTATAGCTTGCTATGCAGTATGGGTTTTGCCCATTGTTGAAGGCCTTATGGTGACCTATAGTTACTTACATCTACCTCATATAAAGTCTGATCTCTACTACTGAGTCTGTCTGTCCCAGTGTGAAATTAGAATACATGGCCTGCTGTACATATTTTATAGCCTTTATTGATGTTTTTTTATGTCAATATTGAGACTTATGAAGATGTTTACTTTGCTAACTTGTGGTATTGCATTGCTATCACATTTACCTTTAATCAACGTGTAGTACAAATTCCTGTATTAAAAGAAATAATGGTTTAAATATGCTGTAAAATTTGTGGAACTTAAAGTTGTCTTTTACCCAATCAACAAAAAGTATATCATCAAAAGTAATGAATTCACAGTAGAGGTCCATCCATACTTCTTTATGTCAAATATGGGTCAGATTTATCAAATAATCTGAAAGGGTGAAAGTTTGAGGACAAATGACTAGAGGCTCTCAAGAGCCTGTGTCACTCACCTGACTCTACTTTGGTTTTAGAAATCATGTAAAGATAGATAAAAATCATAACAGATACCCAAATAATGATTGAGGCCAAATTTGGTTTAATATTGGTCCCGTTATTTAATAAAATATCCTGGTGGCAATCTTGAACAGTAAATCGGCAACAAAGTAGCAAAACGTGGTCAGCACCTCATAAGGAACATTCATGCCAAGTTTGGTTTCATTCCATTCAGTGGTACTCTAAAAGAAGACATTTGTATGTATTTCCCATAGGGTCCTATGTTAAACTAAGTCCCCCCTGGTGGCCATCTTGGATGATGGACTGACTGCAAAGTAACAACACTTGGTCAGCACCTCATAAGGAACATTCATGCCATGTTTGGTTCCATTCTATTCAGTGGTTCTCTAAAAGAAGACATTTGTATGTATTTCCAATAGGGTCCTATGTTAAACTAAGTCCCCCGCTGGCGGCCATCTTGGATGATGGACCGACTGCAAAGTAACCACATTTGGTCAGCACCTCATAAGGAACATTCATGCCATGTTTGGTTTCATTCGATTCAGTGGTTCTCTAAAAGAAGACATTTGTATGTATTTCCCACAGGGTCCTTTGTTAAACTAAGTCACCCACTGGCAGCCATCTTGGATGATGGATCGGCTGCAAAGTAACAACACTTGGTCAGCACCTCATAAGGAACATTCATGCCATGTTTGGTTTCATTCCATTCTCTGGTTCTCTAAAAGAAGACATTTGTATGTATTTCCCATAGGGTCCTATGTTAAAGTAAGTCCCCCCCCGGCGGCCATTTTGGATGATGGACTGACTGCAAAGTAACAACACTTGGTCAGCACCTCATAAGGAACATTCATGCCATGTTTGGTTTCATTCCATTCTCTGGTTCTCTAAAAGAAGACATTTGTATGTATTTCCAATAGGGTCCTATGTTAAACTAAGTCCCCCGCTGTCGGCGATCTTGTATGATGGACCGACTGCAAAGTAACAACACTTGGTCAGCACCTCATAAGGAACATTCATGCCATGTTTGGTTCCATTCCATTCAGTGGTTCTCTAAAAGAAGACATTTGTATGTATTTCCCATAGGGTCCTATGTTAAACTAAGTCCCCCGCTGGCGGCCATCTTAGATGATGGACCGACTGCAAAGTAACAACACTTGGTCAACACCTCATAAGGAACATTCATGCCATGTTTGGTTCCACTCTATTCAGTGGTTCTCTAAAAGAAGACATTTGTATGTATTTCCCATAGGGTCCTATGTTAAACTAAGTCCCCCGCTGGCGGCCATCTTGGATGATGGATCGGCTACAAAGTAACAACACTTGGTCAGCATCTCATAAGGAACATTCATGCCATGTTTGGTTTCATTCCATACAGTGGTTCTCTAGAAGAAGTTCAAAAAGTTTACGACAACGCTGGACGACGCCGGTTGCCAAGTGATGAGAAAAGCTCACTTGGCCCTTTGGGCCAGGTGAGCTAAAAAGTGTCTAGAGGACATTTATACTGAGCAATGATTCTGTATATTTAACAAATAAAGTTAACCTAAAACTTATAACTTCAAAAGTACTACTGTATTCAGATTTTGCAGTACCTGAACCATGAAAATGAGGTCAAGGGCAACAGGCACATGCTAGCCAGAAACTTCAGAATCTAAGGCAGATGTCCACAAGATGTTAATTATCCAGGACATCTACCCTCTGAAATATAAAGCTTTTAACAAATTGTGTATGATGTTGCCACTGCATCAACCACAGCTGGATAAGCATCCCTATGTCTCATTCTGTGACAGTTGTTGCAGGCAAGACACAAATTTAGAACTGCCACTTCAGTTATATTCTTTGCTTAACTGAAAGAAATGAAGGTACCTCCATACATTATCTATTTCATATTTTGATTGAGATGAAGACTGGATTAAACAGGTATAGTGCTCCCTCATTGTCCCTCACTTGAAAATGTACTGTCTCTAATTGCTTAAGTCACTTTTCTAAAATGTATAGTTTTCATATAAATTTCTCCCTCCTTAATCTGCCAGTTTTGATTATCACCATAATTTCATTTGGTCCAATAGGTTTAGATTGAAACCAGGGTATAGTGACCTATAATTGCTTATATCCACATCATTCGAACTCGAGTTACTAGTCGTCTCATTGGCAATTATACCACATCTTCTTATTTTTATACAATGTCGTTTCAGAGAAGAAAATTAAGTTTTGATTACCTATTGGGATTAATGAGAACTGTTTTGCCATCACTGATACTGTGTGTGCCAGGTTATGTCAAAAATTTCTGACAAAGTTTTTGCCATGCCATATAAAAACTAGAGACTTCTTTACATACTTTATTTGGCACTCGACCACATGCATAAAACAACCATTTTGATAATAAAATATTGAGTGTATACAGTGAATTATATATAATGTTGGACTGCTATGACTAGAAAGTGTTCATGAAAAGTTCTTAATAAAATGCTTCGCTGGGGCGCAGCTTGATACGACCGCAGAGGTCGAACCCTGAACAGTTGGGGCAAGTATGGACACAACATTCAAGCTTGATACAGCTCTGAATTTGGATTGTTATTAAATATTTGACACAGCATAGGTTTCTGACACAGAAAGAATGTGGTCTAAGAACTTGAATTTTTTTAATTTACCTATTATGGTCCAATGTCCAAAATCAAAATACATGGTTAGATTCAGCATATCAAAGAACACCATATATTCAATTTTTGTTAAAATCAAACAAAGTTTAATTTTGGACCCCAACTTGGACAAACTTGAAAACTGGGCCCATAATCAAAAATCTAAATACATGTTTAGATTCAGCATATCAAAGAACCCCAAGAATTCAATTTTTGTTAAAATCAAACTAAGTTTAATTTTGGACCCTTTGGACCTCAATGAAGACCAATTTAAAAAACGGGACCCAAATTAAAAATCTAAAAACACGGTTAGATTTGGCATATCAAAGAACCCCAATAATTCAATTTTCGATGAAATCAAACAAAGTTTAATTTTGGACCCTTTTGACCTCAAAATGAACCAATTTGATAGCGGGGCCTACAAATAAATAATCTAAATACATGGTTAGATTCAGCATATCAAAGAACATCATATATTCAATTTTTGTTGAAATCATACAAAGTTTAATTTTGGACCCCAATTTGGACCAACTTGAAAACTGGGCCCATAATCAAAAATCTAAATACATGTTTAGATTCAGCATATCAAAGAACCCCATATATTCAATTTTTGTTGAAATCAAACAAAGTTTAAATACTGGACCCTATCTTGGACCAACTTGAAAACTGGGCCCATAATCAAAAATCTAAACACATGTTTAGATTCAGCAAATCAAAGAACCCCAAGAATTCAATTTTTGTTAAAATCAAACTAAGTTTAATTTTGGACCCTTTGGACCTCAATGTAGACCAATTTAAAAAACAGGACCCAAAATTAAGAACCTAAATACACGGTTAGATTTGGAATATCAAAGAACCCCAATAATTCAATTTTAGATGAAATCAAACAAAGTTTAATTTTGGACCCTTTTGACCTCAATATGAACCAATTAGATAACGGGGTCCACAAATAAAAAATCTAAATACATGGTTAGATTCAGCATATCAAAGAACCCCATATATTCATTTTTTGTTGAAATCAAACAAAGTTTAATTTTGGACCCCAATTTGGACCAACTTGAAAACTGGGCCAAAAATAGAAAATCTAAATACATGTTTAGATTCAGCATATCAAAGAACCTCATATATTCAATTTTTGCTAAAATCAAACAAAGTTTAATTTTGGACCCTTTGGACATTAATGTAGACCAATTTGAAAACTGGACCCAAAATTAAAAATCTAAATACACTGTTAGATTCGGCATAACAAATAAATAAATGTGATCAAAGATTTTACAAATCTAATGCGCCAAACTGTGCAATTAAAGATTACTTCTTGAAATTTTTCAATATTTGAAATTTGAAAAAAAAATAATATTTGAAGAATAATTCTTTTTAATTTCTGAAATCTGAAATGAGAAAAAATTGGCCCCCCACAATTTCTTTTTATCCCCCCCCCCCCTTTTTCCCCCAAAAAAATTCTTTCCCTCAAGATATGGTCATAATCTCAATTCAAATTTCCAATGGAGTTGGCAACCATAATTACCCATTTAAATTTACCATAGTGCTAACTTAATCTATTTTATAATAGAATTAATAAAAATATAGTGTCAAATCTTTCATATGGATTTTTTTGTAAAAAAAAAAGATGAAAACATTTGCAGATATTTTTACTGGTCTTCCTTTATAAATATGCATTTCTTTAAACATAATTTAAAAGCAGAGTAAGGGAAGTAACCAAAACGTTGTATTTGGATTACCTCCCTTACACTGTTTTAGATTATCTTTATTGTTCATTAACCATTACTTTATACATAATTTAAAAGCAGTGTAAGGGAGATAATTTCAATGATGTATTTGATTTATCTCCCTTACACTGCTTTAAATTATGTTTTGTACTAAAGTATTTGTCCATTAACCAGGACAACCTTGTTTTTCCCCCTTTTTTGCCCCTAATTCCTAAACGGTTTGAGCCATAACCCCCCAAAGCAAATCCTAACCATCCGTTTGTGGTATGGAAACTTGTAGTATAATTTCAGAGAGATCCATACACCGTTCCACAGTTATTGTCTGGAAACTAGAAAATGCTCATTTTTGGCCCCTTTTTGGCCCCTAATTCCTTAACTGTTGGTACCATAACCCCCAAAATCAATCCCAACCTTCCTTTTGTGGTATTTAACCTTATGGTCAAATTTCAAAAAGATCCATTCACTTAAACTAAAGTTAGAGTGCGAAAACCAATATGTATTCGGACGACGACGCCGGACGACGACGACGACGACGACGCCGGACGACGACGACGACGACGCCAACGTCATACCAATATACGACCACAAAATTTTTTTGCGGTCGTATAAAAACCAGTCGATATAAATTTTCTATTTCAATGCCGATTTGATCTTCTGTCTGTCTCACATGTGAAGTAATTAAAAAACTAAAAAAATCAAGCACTTTTAGCATTTTCTGTCATAAAAGGAAGAAAATAATTAAGTTTATAAAATGTACAAGCTGATTTATAGATTTCAATTAAGTAGCACTAATTGTCGCTAATACACAAATAAGTAAAAAAACACAAAAATTGTATGAGATTTCTCTAATATTATTTCAAAACTGTAAATTTAGAAATTATTGCGTGCATTTATTATTGCGATTTTTTAAGAATAGACAGCAAAATTAATTATTGTGACTTCAAGAAAATCTCCATACAGATGTATGTTTCAAAATCAAAATGTGAGTTCTTATTATTGTGATACTCACACAGTCGCATTATTCGCATTAAATAAAACCTCGCAATAATTGCTGAATTTACAGCATATCAATTTGGTAGCACTAGTTATTACTAACAAAAATAAGTAAATAACACAAAAAGTGTAAGAGATTTCTCTATTATTATACAGTGTCCGAGTATTGTAAACAAAACAAAAACCTCTCAAAACAAGTACATTGTACATGGGTATAACATATTACCACTTTAATAGCTATTTACAAATATACGCTATAAATTTTCATTTTATTCTATCATCATAATAAAATGTAACAATAATAACAGTTCTCTAAACAGTAATACTTGTCACAACAATTTAAAGCTGCCAGTAGATTTAAACGTTTGTCAGACCTAAATGCAGAAACATGTGTTTTGTGCATGGAAAGCATATCATCATTTTTCTTAAAGTAGGACAGAAAACTTTCTGTAATTTATTAATTGTATGAAATGAAATTTATAAAAAGTAAAAACAGTTGACTAAAATGCCTTAAATTCTGCAATTTCAATGCCAAAGAATGTTGAAACTGAGGTCAAGGCCAAAGACCTCAAACGGCAAAATAACATGTCAGATATACAAACATATACTCTTAATTTTCTGGTTTGTCAAGCAAAGTTACTTAACTATAGACCAAACCCTGATGAAAAAGATATTATGTTTTTCTAATATTTAGTTCTTTAAAAATCAATCAGTATTGCATATTTAGCTTTTCAATCATTAAGAAATGTCCAAACTAGTTAACTGAATTTGCATGCATTTCAAAAAGTGTAGTACACAAATTCAACACTAAAACTTTTCTTTTATAATTTCTTTAATACATTTAATCATTCTCCTTTGAAATATGATATACAGTGAAACCTGCTATAAAGGTCACCTCTATTAAGCAAAAACCTGTATTGTCAGGTCGCCCTCTTATTTTGAACTTCAATTCAAAGGTCACCAGTCTTACAAGGTAAATTTTTCTCTTGACAGAAAGGGTGACCTTTTTATACTTTACATGGCCTTACATTTTTTTTTTTTCAGATTCTAAGGATTTTTTAAGGGAACAAGGTTAGGTAATTATTTATTTTGAGGTACTTTAAGTATTATGACATAGGTATCTCATGAGTAGCCGCATAACGACCATAGACTTGATGAAACAGTTGTCTTTCTATGTCAATAAGCAGAGAGCTAGCACCGAGTCTAAACAGCTGGCCATTCAACCATTCATCACCAAGCTCTTCCTTCATCAAGATCAACCATGTGCATGAATCTTTAGCACTCCTTATTCCACCAGCTGGCTTAAATCCAACCTGTCAATATATTCAACAATTTGACACTTAACTAAAGATAGTCTTATATTTATGTATTTTTCAACAGAATTGTTTAAAGGGAATATATAAGATCCAAGGATTCTCTATTTGCTTACCTGGCCTTTTTGCATTATTCTGATTCAATTACAGAAAAAGGCTCACATGAATGTTTATGAGGTATTATAATTTTTAAATTAAATACTGTGGATTCATTTATGTTTGTGGGTACCAATTTTCGTTGATTGCGGAAACGTTGTATTTTCGTGGATATTTGATTTTGTGGTTTTGCCAAAGTCTGTAAACAAGCCTATTGAAAATATGTAGTTCGTTTTACTTTAAATTTCGTTGTTCTTTTTTACCCACAAATCCCATGAAAATTGGTATCCCACGAATAATAATGAATCCACAGTAGATAAAATCATTCAAATGCAGTCCATGAAGGATTTGTAGATTAGAACACCACTGTTTGTCCCTAACCTCCAATCTATATTATAGTCCATTTTTAGGTATAGTCAATGTCATGATTCATGACAGTTGCAGTTAATCAAAATTTGAAATCAGTTGTATTCATTTTACTTGATTGGTTGGCACATTGGATATAGGTTTGAAACAACAGATGTTAAGAGATATTGTGGTTTTATTCCAAATGACCTGGTGTAACGCCACTTTCAGCATGCTTGGATATATCGTGGCCACCAGTTTTTATTGGTGAGGAAAGCTGGAGTGTGCAGAGAGAACCACCAACCTTTGGCAGTAAAACTGTCAATCCTAGTCAATTGAGTTAGGACTTAATCAGAATTCAAAATCACAACCTAAGTGTTGACATGCAAGTTAACTACTTAGACCACTTGGACACCAAAGTATCTTGTAATGTTGGTGGATCATTGTTGCTAACAATAATAAAAGGAGGTTATTACTTCCTTGTCCAATATGGTCATTCATCTTTTCCCAAGGACATGGGTTTGATAGTCATTATTGTTGCCCTCTGGAAAAATGACTTTTTTGGGGTGTACAAATCTTCATATCTCCCTTAGACAAAGAAATAAATGTATAAAGTTTACCTTGTAACCAGTCTTCTGGTAATATTCTCTGATAGCCCTCACCATTACCAATGCCACAGGGAAGATAGCATTCACTCCTTCTTTACCAGTAGATGTCTTGATAAAATCAGCACCTGATGATATAAAATTCTAATTGAATAAATATATCAATTCAAATTTTCATTTATACAAACAAATGATATCAATTTCAGTGTGTATGACAATTTGTTTGGGAGACCAAATGCATGAAGCATGTAGGAGAAAGGCCTAAATGGATTATGAAAACCATTCACAGTCATCATCATTATCATGACATCAAATTGATTAATAAGTATGCCCATCATTTACCTGTAAAGGTATCAAATTGATTGTTAGACAGAGGCTTTATTCTCTAAATTCGTATCTCTTTGTAATACATTTACCTTTAACCAAACCAACAGGAAATTCACTGATTATAATCTTTCTCAAAATTATGAATTTTTTGTTAGTGAAATTTGTATTTGATAGTTTTCAGAAATAACAACGTCCTCAACATTTGAAAATTTTACTCTTGCTGAAAGATTGACATGGATAAAACCAAAAGTTGTTCCATCCTTTGCATTGTATCAACAGAAAAATCAATAACGAAATTGCAATATATTACCAGTTTAAGGATGTCAGATGATCTTACTAAAATCCTATATACTGTGGATTCGATCATTTTTCGTGGGTACCAATTTTCATGGATTGAGGAAAATTTGTATTTTCATGGATTTTTCCAAAGTCGGCATACAAGCCTCTAGAAAATTTGTACTTCTTTGAACATTTAAATTCGTGTTTCATTTATATCCATGAAATCCACGAAAACTGGTATCCTACAAATAACAATGAATCCACAGTAGTACTTACCTGCCATCATGCAAACCAGACTGGCTTTATAAACATTGACCATGTTACCCAGTTCCCCTGTTGCTAAGATTGTTTTGAGGTGGGCATCTCCACAGGCTTCTCTCATTGCTTTTACTTCTTCATATACTCCTGAAAATGATTTAATCAACAAAGTATTAATATCTTTTCAATCAAACAAGATTTATTTCATGTTGGTTCAAGTATTTCTGATACTTATTAACTTGAAATACTTTGATGTCATCTGATGAAAATTACCAATAACTGTATATGATTTTTACTAACCTTATTTTATCATCTGAAAACATAATTTCAGATTTATTAGTTAACTAACTTAAAATGATCTTGAATGTAGATATTGGTTATGCTTGACGACATAATCATTTTGTACTATGCACACAATTTAATTAATTTGTGGTTCATCATGAAATAAATTTTGATTACTGGTATGTACTACCATGTAAAGAGCCACTTGTAAGACCCTTTTCCTTGTTAGGATCATTTAGTTTCTTTTTCTCACATTTCAAAATAAGGATTCCTGTAATAATATAATGCTAAAAATTACTATGGTAAGATGTAATTTTCTGTTACCTCTCCAATTTCCAGTTAAAGCATATTCCCTGTTTATGACAATGTCTATTTCTCTAGCCCCATCTGCCACTGCCATTCTTATCTCCTCTAGTCTGGTCTTTAGTGGAGTCTGTCCTGTAGGGAACCCTGTTGCCACTGAGAAAACAAATGAGCTTTTAACAATCAAAACAATTTCAAACAGGTATTACAAAATCAACAAACTGTATGATTCTTTTTTACAATCTTTAAGTGGCAAAACTGACCTTTGCAACTGGTGAAAAATATAACACCTTCTCCACAGAATTTATCAATATGGCACATTAACCCAAGCAAAAGCTAGCAATTTGTTTGCAAATACTCTGAACAGGCATAATACATGTATTTTCACTTTCTTATAATATGATTTAAATTTCAAGTGTCAGAAATACTAAAAAGCTTTGGCACCACAGCTAGTAAAGAAAGTATTTTTCAAGTGATTTAGTTTTCAAAATTTCAATTGATCAAAATGTCATTCCATAATGTTCACATCACAATACTCATTGCAACAGCTCTAAACTAAAATATTCTCTTGTAGAGTATTAGACACAAAAATATATTGATGGGACAGGCTTCAGTTGATACTTCTTTTTTAAAGTGAACTTAAAATTGTGTTTTTTTGTGATTTTCTACAATTCCACTATTAATCAGTGCATACTGGTGTCACCCCACAATATGAGATATGTAAAAGTAATATTTTTTTAGTTTTTTTTATATTGACCTTTTGATAAAATTATTTAAAGGATCTCATAAAATAGGAGCTAATCATTCCTGGTCATTTATATCTACTGGTGTGATTAAATATTTGTAGGCCATTTTAGATCAAAGCAAAACATATGATGGCCTAAATGCCCTGAAGAGCAACTTTAATCATGTTAATTGAGTTTAAAAAACTCAAAAAACGAACATACATTTTTTCCATTCCTAAGGTTTATTTTTAAAAATCTTACCAGAAGCAACAGGTATATGAGAAGCATTGGCTGCCTTTAATGCTTTAACAGCATCTGCTACTCTGCTTGGGTAAACACAAACTGCTCCTACAGTAATACCTATAAAAAAATATTAAGTGTAAATAATAGATTCTGGAGTAATCTCAGGGTAAAATATCTGCAAACTGAAAACACAAATAAAATGCTCCGCAGGGCGCAGCTTGATACGACCGCAGAGGTCGAACCCTGAACAGTTGGGGCAAGTATGGACACAACATTCAAGCTTGATACAGCTTTGCATTTGGATTGTGATTAAATATTTGACACAGCATAGGTTTCTGACACAGAATGAATGTGGTCTAAGAACTTAAAAATTTTAAATTGGACATTCACCTATTATGGTCCAATATCCAAAATCTAAATACATGGTTAGATTCAGCATATCAAAGAACCCCAAGAATTTAATTTTTGATGAAATCAAACAAAGTTTAATTTTGGACCCTATTGACCTCAATGTGGACAAAGTTGATAACGGGGCCCAAAAATCAAAAATCTAAATACATGGTTAGATTCAGCATATCAAAGAACCCCATATATTCAATTTTTGTTGAAATCAAACAAAGTTTAATTTTGGACCCCGATTTGGACCAACTTGAAAACTGGGCCCATAATCAAAAATCTAAATACATGTTTAGATTCAGCATATCAAAGAACCCTAAGAATTCAATTTTTGTTAAAATCAAACTAAGTTTAATTTTGGACCCTTTGGACCTTAATGTAGATCAATTTGAAAACGGAACCAAAAATTAAGAATCTAAATACACGGTTAGATTCGGCATATCAAAGAACCCCAATAATTCAATTTTTGATGAAATCAAACAAAGTTTAATTTTGGACCCTTTGGACCTCAATGTGGACCAATTTAAAAACGGGGCCCAAAATCCAAAAACTAAATACACGGTTAGATTCAGCATATTAAAGAACCCCAAGAATTCAAGAATAAAACCCCATTGAAAAGTTAAAAAATAAGCAATTTATATGAAGTATCTTCTTTTGCACAATACTGTGCAATTAAATATTTCTTGCTATTGCGCAATACTGTAGAATTGACAATTTCTTGCTATTGCGCAATATTGTGCTATTGGATATTTCTTGCTATTGCGCAATACTGTGCAATTGAAGATTTCTTGCTATTGCGCAATACTGTGCAATTGAAGATTTCTTGCTATTGTGCAATACTGTGCAATTGAAAATTTCTTGCTATTGCACAATACTTATTATATAATAATTTACACATCCTGTTTGGTGTGTATCTCCTACCATATCATTATTATTTGCTTTTAAATATAAATCAGAAATAACCAACTTAAAATGGGAAATTTTAAAAGAAAAAAAAGGAAAAAAAAAAAAATCCCCCCCCCAAATTTTTTGAACCCCCTTATGATTCATCACCTTCAAACTCAATCCCAGCCTTCCCTTTGTGGTATGGTACCTTGCAGTACAATTTCAGAGAGATCCATACACTTGAACACAAGTTATTGTCTGGAAACTAGAAAAATGTGTTTTTTGGCCCCTTTTTGGCCCCAAATTCCTAAACATTTAGGGCAATTACCCCCAAACTCAAACCCAGCTTTCCCTTTGTGATATGGAACCTTGTAGTACAATTTCAGAAAGATCCATACACTTACACACAAGTTATTGTCCTGAAACTAGAAAAATGCTTGTTTTTTGCCCCTTTTTTGGCCCCTAATTCCTAAAATTTTGAGGCAATTACCCCCAAAATCAATCCCAGCATTCCTTTTGTGATATGGAACCTTGTGGTACAATGTCAGAGAGATCCATACACTAACACACAAGTTATGTCTGGAAGTTACAAAAATGCTTATTTTTGGCCCCTTTTTGGCCCCTAATTCCTTTACTGTTGGTACCATAACCCCCAAAATCAATCCCAACCTTCCTTTTGTGGTATTGAACCTTGTGGTAAAATTTCATAGAGATCCATTCACTTAAACTAAAGTTAGAGTGCGAAAACCAATGTGTCTTCGGACGACGCCAGATTTTTCTCGATATCACAAAAATAAGAATCGCATTTTAGTCTAAAATGACAAAATCGCAATAATAAATGCACGCAATAATTTCTGAATTTACAGTAGTTGATTAGAAGTCACTGTTTTTCCTGACTGTCTGTTTAACGTTATATAATTCTTCAAAAGGATGTTTCACTTTGTAGTTCCCCCACAATACATCAGTTCAACTTCACAAAAAAGAAAATGTACAGTTTTACTGTCAATAATTCGTTTAAAGAATTTCCCAATAGAAGATTAAGGACATCTTTAGTTGTCTCATTGGCAATCTCACTCATCTCCTTATTTATACAAATGTTGCAAAAGTAAAACACACAACAAAATAACCTTCACAGTGAGGCATACATAGACCATTTAATTTTAATCAAAATCTGATGCTTGGAGCTGTCAGCTAAAGACAGTGTTTATTGACGGGGATGACACACTCTTGGGATGTGTGATATAGGGGGTTACAAAAAAGTGGGGATGTGTGATATAGGGGGGTTACAAAAAAGTGGGGATGTTGGATACAGGACAAAAAAAAGTGGGAACTGGGGGAAAAAAGGGAAAAAAGTGGGAAAAAATTACAAAACAAAAGCGTGATTTTGGAAATAAGCACCCCTCTTAATTGTATAAACAAACCTGCATCTTCCATCTGTAGACCTTTAATCAAGTCATCTCGCACAGGATTTTTGGCTTTAAAACAAAGTCGGGACACATTACTTGCTGTGTCGTCACCTGATAAAGTTGTTAAATCTATACATGTCACTGCTCTCAGTAACCAAGCTGACTATAATAAAAATATAAAATGGCAAATACAAGATATGTAAATTTTAAAATGCATATCCCAAGCTACACCATTTGAACAAATATGACAGTCTATGTTGTCCTGTGTGAAACACAAAAAAAATTTCAAATTAAAAACCAAATTTGAAGTGCACAATGGCATAATGTACATTTTTTTGTAAGAAAGATTCTGTAAAAGTTTCATTGAAATCTAGTCAGTGGTTTGGAAGAAGTGGCTGATACAAATCTACCTCCTTTTGCAGATAATATTGTCCTGTGTTTTGTCACTTTTAATATTTTTTTATGGATAAAAACTTCTTTAATATAATTAAGTAATTGTGAAGAGAGAGAAATTAAAAGATTTCGATTTAATGTGGGAGTTTTGACATCCCTGTCACATTAGTAGTCTTCCAATAAAGATTTAAAATTAAAAAAAAATTTTAAATATATATTGGGCAATCTAATCAAATTTAAATCTCTGCACTCTCATTTTTTTTTATAAAGCATAAAAAAAATGAGCGAGTGCAGATATTTGATTTTGATTAGATTGTATATGGGGAGCCTTTCCATCTGAAGAGGTGACTGATGATTATGATTTATTATCTTAATATTGACTGTTCATACCTGCCACTGTTTTTTCACACATCTTCTCGTTCCAAGCGTTTCTGCTCTTCTCTTTACAGCTGGCAAATTTACATAAACATGCTCCAACCAACTAGCATCTATAAGTAGATAAATTTCAACATAGTTTTATTCTTTAAAGCATTCTTTGCCATCATAAAAAGTTGGACAAAATTGGCTCTTTTTAAAAAATTCTTTCACAGAAAAGATATTTACCTGTAGTATATATATCCTTAATTCATGATGGATAACCAGTTGTAGTCAATATATGGGTCAATATCCCGAATGCGTCTCAAATTGAGGAACACAAAAGTTGTGCGTAAACAAATATTCTCCTTGTAGTGATATTGGACATGTTTTAATTTTTATCAAGTGACTGAGCGTAACCATTTGTGCTGATTTGGAGTGTAGAGGACCATAGAATAAATGTGTAACAACTATGAAGTTATTAAATTTATGTATGCAAAGAACTAAATTTTCAAAGAACTTATTGTGTTAAAAAATTCGTAAGGGTTCCGCGGAACCCAGTGTCTCGCCTACTTTTGCTCTTAATCGCAGGCTCAACAAAAATGAGGAAAAAAATTAATAAAAATATTCCTCTTTATACTATTTTTTAATTGTAAGTAGCTTCTGTCCAAGTTTGGTAAAAATCCAGGATAGTTTATGAATCTAATAAATGTTTTAAAAACTTAGACTGCAGACTGTATGTAATGTTAACTGGAAGAAAAACTAAGTCCATTTATAAGTAAAATACGGAAAAAATGGAACAAAATTTTAACAAAATTTCCTTCTAGATACTAGCTTTTAATCATAAACAAGCTTCTGTCCAAGTTTGGTACAAATCCAGGATAGTTTAAGAAAGTTATTAAAATTTGAAAAACTTTAACCACAGAGTGAACGTAATGTTAACTGGCAGAAAAACTAAGTCCATTTAAAGGTAAAATACGGAAAAAATGGAATATTTTTTTAACAAAATTTACTTCTGGATACTATTTTATGATCATAAACAAGCTTCTTTCCAAGTTTGGTAGAAATCCAGGATAGTTTAAGAAAGTTATTAAATTTCAAAAACTTTAACCACAGAGTGAATGTAATGTTTCCTGGCAGAAAAACTAAGTCCATTTATAAGTAAAATATGGAAAAAATGGAATATTTTTTTTACAAAATTTACTTTTGAATATTATCTTATGATCATAAACAAGCTTCTGTCCAAGTTTGGTAGAAATCCAGGATAGTTTAAGAAAGTTATTAAAATTTCAAAAACTTTAACCACAGAGTGAATATTTGTGGACGCCGCCGATGACGACAACAACGACGACGCCGACGGAATGTAGGATCGCTATGTCTCGCTTTTTCGACAAAAGTCGAAGGCTCAACAAAAAGGGATTTTTTACCTGGAGGAGCTGGAGCCGCATCACGAAAGGATTTTAGGGATGTGATTATTTAAGGAAAAATGAATCTCACTTCGTACCCTGAAAATTTAACAACATATGTGAACATTTCTTAGCTTCGGAAAGAGCAATCGCACATATCAAAGTTTAAGATATGGACGGAAGAATTGAGGAAGAGGCTATCATTACTGCCTACCTGATATGAATTGCGCATCCATTGCCAAGAATCTGTCCGGTTTAAGGGAGATAACCCAATTTGAAAACAATTATTTGTATCGACAAGGACGATAACCTGTCCTCACTCCATATGGGGTAACTTGCTAATTTGACATATGCGATAAGACGCACAATTAAGGGGTTAAACACCCGCTGGTCTGTAAAGATAACTTCTGTGAAAACCAATACCAGATGTTATGTTATCAATAAAATAATTTTTATTCATGTTTTCTGTATTTTGGTGCAGTTTTTAAAATTAATTGAAGGCTGGATTCCTATTCGAACTTTGTTGAAACCTGGGACTGCTGAATTAGTGTATTAGTCCCAGTTGAAACATTGAAACGACGCAAGGTGTTTTACCCAAATTGGTAAATGAAAAATGCATATAAATAAAAATAGATATTCTTATTCAAAATAAATTGAGCATCAAACTGACTGCAATGTAATTGAAATTTTTGTTCAACTATTTCACATATAATTGGCCAAAAAGCCGTTGTTTTACGGTTCTTTTTTTTTTTATATATAAAACGGGTACCTCGAGAATTCGGAATGTCAGTCATTTTATTTAATTTTAAACATCCATTGACAGCTCATAATTTATGAATTTTACAGTATACATTGAGTGAGGATAACAGCACAATTCCTAAATTCCTAGAGTTAAATGAACTGTTGTTGGTTAATGTCTGTCATATTTGTTTTTCGTAAATTGTTTTGTTATAAATTAGGTCGTTAGTTTTCTCAATTGAATAGTTTCATATTTTTCATGTGGGGCCTTTTATTGCCCACTATATGGTATGTATTTTTCTCATTGTTGAAGGCCGTACGGTTGCCTATAATATATATTCATTTGAACTTTGGTGGATAGTTGTCTTATTGGCAATCATACCACATCTCTTTATATTTATATGTATGTTGGATGTGTACTGGTAGATAATTTATCTTCAGATCGGTACTTTAGATCTTTTGTCTTCAGATCGACACTTTAGATCTTTTGTCTTCTGTAGTTTTTTTAAAGTTTCGTGCCCATCTGACAAGAAACCTTAATTTCAACAGTTTGGTCTTGTGTTGTGCTTTTATACCATTGCCCCAGGTTCAGTGGGATTAAGATAGATTTGAGCACTCACAAACATGTTTAACCCCACCGCATGCCACAATTTATAGTTCTGTTTTAAGTCAGGAACAAATTACCTGTTATTATGTGGTTGTTGTTTCTTGCTGTCCGAAATATTTATTGTCTTGTTGTTATTATTTTAGCATAAACCAGTTCCTTGGTTTTTTTTCATGAACCTCTAGCCTTTGTTAGTCTTGTGTGGTTTTTTTTTAAATTTTGGTTCATTTAAATGTTTCAGGGTTTGGTATGGCGTTCTTTTTGCTGAACTAGTATACATTATTGTGTAGGGGCCAGCTGAAGCCTGCCTGCGTGTGCGGGATATTCTCGCCCTGCGTTGAAGATCCATTGTTGGCTTTGGGCTGTTTTCTGCTCTTTGGTCGGGTTGTTGTCTCTTTTAACACATTTCCCGTTTCCATTCTCAATTCTATCCTATAAAGCTTACTACATGTATACGATATGGGTTTTGCTCATTGATAAAGGCCGTACAGTAACTTATAGTTACTTTTACTTATTTTGTAAATTATTGTATTTACTTTTACTTTCTACTCATTTTTTCAGTTGGACTTTGAGAGAGAATTTACTGCTTTATTACAACGTTTCGCTGATTTCTACTCAAGATGGATAAGGAGTATTAAATAAATTTTTGCAAAAAAAGCAAAAGATTATCATCCGCCTCGGATGGAATTGCTTCTTATTTTAACATTTCTTTGGGAAATTATTGGAAATATTTTGCACTAACAAACACATAAAAGGTAGGCATTTGTATATATGCAAAAATTTCAAGCCATCAATGAAAATTTTGGGTCTCAAAGTAGAGAGCAAAATTCCCTCTCAAAATCCAACCAAAAAAAATGGCTTCAGCGTTTTGACGTCACAGTAAGGCGTCAAAGCAAAAAAAAAAAAAATAGCCTTTCAAGGTGTCATAATTATTTGGACTAGTTCTAAGACAGAACTTGTTACTCCTACTGTCCATTTTTTGGCACAGTAAATTTATATATCATTTCATTTTGAGAAAATACATGCCTAACTGGTTATATTTACCCATTTGGGTGACAGGATCTGTTAATTGGTATTTGGTAACATTAACATTAACTAATGAATAAGCTGTGTAAATTTACCTGAGGACCTATATCATACGACCTAGGAACATGCAATTAGGTCAACTGTTTGCTAGGACAAAACAATGTGAACAGTGAATGACATTTCATTAAGCAGAACGCAAAATATATGTTACGGGATTATGGTCATAGCATTGAGGTAAAAGACCCTTATACAGTATTCTGTAAATGTTTTACACGTAAAACACCGTACCAAACTCAATCCCTGGATTTCTGTCTGACATATTTATCTCTTCAGTGTGTTTGACACGCTTTAGCTAATATCCTTGTTACTGTTAAACACTCAGAAGACGAAATAAAATTTTCTGATTTGAAGTGTTCATTTTCACCAATTCTAGATAACCTTGAGAACGCGTGATATGTATTCAAGCGGTAACACAATACATGTCTCTGATTTCAAGTAAATGATAAAAATTTAAGTCTGCCGAAAGTGTGACTAAAATTACTTTTTTTATGACAGTAATTGGTGTTAAGTGTTGATTCAAAAAGGTCATAAAATTAATAGCATAATTCATGTGATGCTGGCATAATTAAAAAAAATAACAAGGATCCCTTTCATGTAAAAATTTAAGATCGTGGCAAATTATTTAATTTCCTATGTTTCCATGTAACGAATTTCACATGAGACATACCAAGTATTCTTCAATATGATTCTAGAGACCAATATTACCATGGGAACCATCTGTGCTCCTCATCTTGTTGGCTTGTTCCATGATTGGTAATGCCCTTGGTGGTACATGCATCTGAGGAGCATGCTTCTGCGGTTTATTTTACAAGCCATATTTTGGATCATTTAATTTTAGAGTATGAACAGACTCGGGTAGACTCAGCATCAGAATGATATGTTCACAGAGGCAGATTTAGGGGAGTGGGCCGGGAGCCCAGCCCCCTTTATCGACCTACATATATGGTTGATGCATAAACTTTTTACATGTCCCACTCCAAAAGTTGCCTAGTTTGAGCCCCTCTCTTTATTCAAAATCCTATATCTGCATCTGGTTCATATCCCCCCCCCTTTTTTTTTTCAAAATCCTAGATCTGCATCTGGTTTATATTCATGTTTTGACAATTTTCCTGAATAAACATGTGATAAGTGCCACTAGACATTAAACAGCCAGCTATCTATCCTTTAGTTTATATGTAAGATGCAGTCTTCAAAGAGCAGTTTTTAAGAAGAAAAAGAAACTAGCATAATCCTTTTACTTCATCTTCTGCTACAAAGGTAATCAAAAATGACAATCTTTTACTGAAAATTGAAAGTTTTTTGACTATGTTAAAATGACCATGGATATGTTCCACTTGTAGCCATAATCCTGTTTTTCCCTCCATTGCTTTTTGTGACATCACAGAATGTGATTAACCACAAGATATTTAGCAACACAAGTGCAGGAACTACTTACCCTTCTGGAGCACATGAATTCACTCCTGGGTTTTGGTAGGGTTCAGGTTGATCTATTTTAAATTTTCAGTGTATTGTTTTGCGGACTGGTCTTTCACGCACAGTCTTTTCATCGTTTCCTTTAGGCTAGTGTTTAATTGTCTATTTTTTTCAAGTTCTATTTTTAGCCATGTTGGTGGACAGGCAGGATCATCAGACACAATTTTAAAGTAGATACTCCAATGATGATTTTGGCCAAGTTTCAAAGGAGATTTTTGTAAAAGTAAAAGTTCACAAATGATGGATGAAGGACATCAAGTGAGCTATAACTAAGGGGAAATCAAAAACTCAAACATAAGGGTAAAATGCCAGTGTTGTGTACTATCTTGAAAACCAATTTAGATAGCAATTATCTGACAGAGGCAGAAATGTTCAGAATGTTGAGATCCATCTACTGTCCATTTACACCAAAACTGTCAGACAACTTCTCATATGAGTTATTGCCCTTTAATGACTATCAGTATTTTCCCCAAATCTTTTCACCTATTTTCTTGAAAACTATAATAAAGAGAAAATAGCATAAATAATCAGCAGGAAAAGACCTACAAATAAGTCAACATGATGGAAAGATTTTCTGCTTGAATCATGATTTTTACTAATTTTTAGCATTACTGCCATAATGGCTGATTTGTAGATCTTTTTGTGCTGAACATGAGTGTCCTTTCTTTTTTTCCTTTATATAGAACATGTTGATCTGATGCGAATATGAACCTTTTTGTACTACACCAACTAGAATGGGAAAGACTATAAACATGCTTGCACATAAAGTAACTTTCAAAGAGAGAACATGTTAACACCCAGGACAATTGTTCTGACATTGAGTTAACCAGTCTTTACTCTTACTCCTAAAAGACACAATAATTAAGAGCAGCAGTAAATAGGGATATTTTATTTGATATTGACAATGATCTAATACAAAGACTCCTTCACTTAAAATGAGTCTTCTACCATGAGACCACTGAATAAGGCAGTCAATACACTTTGCTTGGTTCCAATCCGTCAAAGTATGTTTTTAAACATTTCTAAATTACAATTTCTACATTTGTTGGACAAAAAATCTATTCGGTATGTTAGATAAACTTGATAAATGAATAAATTTCTGTAGGTTGGGTTAAATAATGTACACAAGAATAAAGATGGATGCTTTAAACATGGCAAGCGGCCACAATGACCTTGTCATTTCAAGGATACAGAGATCCAGTTAGCCCATTAAACATTTAATGACGTAAAAAAATCAGTGTATAGTAAAAGAGTTTTTCTTATAATGGATATGATATCAATCAAGATGGATGGATGGATGGCTGTTTAACCTCCAGTGGCAAATTAAATTCATGTTCAGGACTAGAACATGATAATGTGATATAATAAAATGCTCCGCTGGGCGCAGCTTGATATGACCGCAGAGGTCGAACCCTGAACAGTTGGGGCAAGTATGGACACAACATTCAAGCTTGATACAGCACTGAATTTGGATTGTGATTAAATATTTGACACAGCATATATAGGTTTCTGACACAGAATGAATGTGGTCTAAGAACTTAATTTTTTTGATTTACCATAATTCAAACCATATCATTATTATTTGCTTTTATATATAAATAAGAAATAACCAATTTAAAATGGAAAATTTTAAAGAAAAAAAAAGGAAAAAAAAAATCCCCCCCCCCCCCCCCCCAAATTATTTGAACCCATTTATGATTCATCACCCCCAAACTCAATCCCAGCCTTCCCTTTGAGGTATGGTACCTTGCAGTACAATTTCATAGAGATCCATACACTTGAACACAAGTTATTGTCTGGAAACTAGAAAAATGCTTGTTTTTTGGCCCCTTTTTGGCCCCATATTCCTAAACATTTAGGGCAATTACCCCCAAACTCAAACCCAGCTTTCCCTTTGTGATATGGAACCTTGTAGTACAATTTCATAAAGATCCATTCACTTACACACAAGTAGTTGTCCTGAAACTAGAAACATGCTTGTTTTTGCCCCTTTTTCCTAAAATTTTGAGGCAATTACCCCCAAAATCAATCCCAGCCTTCCCTTTGTGGTATGGTACCTTGCAGTATAATTTCAGAGAGATCCATACACTTGAACACAAGTTATTTTCTGGAAACTAGAAAAATGCTTATTTTTGGCCCCTTATTCCTAAACGTTTTGGGCAATTACCCCCAAACTCAATTCCAGCTTTCCCTTTGCGATATGGAACCTTGTAGTACAATTTCAGAAAGATCCAAAGACTTACACACAAGTTATTATCATGAAACTAGAAAAATGCTTGTTTTTTGCCCCTTTTTTAGCCCCTAATTCCTAAAATTTTGAGGCAATTACCCCCAAAATCAATCCAAGCATTCCCTTTGTGATATGGAACCTTGTGGAACAATGTCAGTCCCTTTGTGATATGGAACCTTGTGGTACAATGTCAGAGAGATCCATACACTAACACACAAGTTATGTCTGGAAGTTACAAAAATGCTTATATTTGGCCCCTTTTTGGCCCCTAATTCCTCAACTGTTGGTACCATAACCCCCAAAATCAATCCCAACCTTCCTTTTGTGGTATTGAACCTTATGGTAAAATTTCATAGAGATCCATTCACTTAAACTAAAGTTAGAGTGCGAAAACCAATGTGTCTTCGGACGACGACGCCGGACGACAATGACGCCAACGTCATACCAATATACGACCACAAAATTTTTTTGCGGTCGTATAAAAATAAACCCTGCTTTGTATTAGACAGACACACTGAGCTGGATTTTTATTGTGCTACTAGTAGTTTAACAAGTAAAAGTCCACAGGAAAACATGTCACCATACCCGGACACATTATTCTGACTCCCAGCCGACCAGTCATGGTCGGACTCCTAAATGCTGCTTGCTTAGCGGAGAAGCAGTAAATACTAATTTTTCAAATCTTTGGTTTGACCCAGTTGGGGTTTTAACTCATGAACAACTGCACTAGAAGCAAACATGCTACCACAAGACCACAGAGGCAGTATATGAATCAAAGAGTAGATGGGCATAATAATGTAAGATAATTTTAGTAATTTTCATTATTTTAATGGCCATTCTTCACAACCCTGATAGCTATATACATAATAAATATGCAAGCGCTGTACAACCAAAATATAATGTGACTAGACATATGTGTAAAAGAAAAGTACAAATGATAATGTCCTAAAAAGTATACAAAATAAATTAATGGTCATACATGAAGTCAAGTATTTACTTGGGTTTTATTCATGATAATGACAAATATCTTTGAAATAAATAAAAATTGTACAAGTAATATGTGAATCTTAAAGAATACTAGTATTTGATACTGTGGTCTGAAACAATAAAATTCACATAATTTATACATTTTATTCATCATATTTATGAGACTCATAATGAACACTATAAAATCTGGTTTAATCTCAATGTGTGCAAAGACGGCACTACCTTTAATACATATGAACTTTTAAATTGTGATTAGGACTTATGTTGTCTGTAGTAAATGCAGAAATTTTAGTACCTTCAACCTAAAGAATAGTATTTACCTTATTGATGATATACTAAAAAAAAACTAATACTTCTGGATATACGATTTTCTCTTTTTTGTTCCCACACAAATATAATAAATGCATTTTCCTATCTTTATTATTTATATTCTAAATATCAAACTGTGTAAGTCTTTTTCTGTCTAACCATATACCCATCTTTATATTTAATACCATTTTCAACGCTTTCATTTGCTTTATCTGTAATTTTTCAAGAATACAATATTCCCTTCGTGCAAAAATCTTGAAATGAAACATAAAATAGGCACCAAAATAAAAATCGGAAAAATTCTTTCAATGGTATTTCTAATTTCAATGCTTGAGCTGAGGACCTTATAGAGTTATTTCCCCAATTTACTTATACATTCATTGATTACATGTATGTCAACAACAAGAATCAACCCTATAGATCTGAAAAATGTCAACTTTTTAAATTATTTTTTTGGGGAGGTGAAAAGGGCCTGAGCATCTTGTCTGTAAAACAACTACTTTCCATGTTACACAAAGATTAAAACATTACATTGTCACCTTATTAAATGTCATGGAATATACTCTTTTGATCTATTGCTATATATCTAGATTTGTTCTTGAAACCAATATGAAATATACGATACTTGAGTTGATTATATGACTTTTAAATTTGCAATATCAAATATTAAACTGAAAATTGCAACCACTAAACTTAAAATGAACTTATAGCAAAAATCTGCATTATTGCTTTAAGAATGAAAACATCTTCACTTACTGTACATATTGTCCAACTCCGTGTAAGAAAAATGCTTTCAAAGTACAGTAAATGTTTTTGTTAATAAATTTGACTACAATATCTTATGACCATATCTAAACTGTTTCCATTTAATCAATTTTAAATGAAAGTCCATATTATTAATCTAAATGGATAATAATAGCAAAGCCTTGAATATAGATTTTTTTTTGAACCCATATTTTATGCATGTTATGTATCTACAACTAGGCCAAATAAAATAAATGTTGTTTCTCAGAACAATTATTAAACGTTACTAATTAAGCAGGAAAGAATTTTTTTTTAATTTTCATCAAATTTAAAATTAGTATTATTGATTTTGATACAAAATTATTACATTTCTGAGACTATGCGGCTTTTTTAAAACAAAATTGTCACATGTAGAACCGAGAGAAAGTTAATAGAACTAGTAATGTCTTTTAAAAGTTTGTTTTTTGTTGTTGTAAGAGATCATGTTAAACAGGTTTCAGGTTCCCGAGGATATTAACAATATTTTGTTTTTCTTTTAACCTGACCGAACTGATAATTATAAGTTTTATTATTACAAAAACTTGCAGAAATTGATAATTAAATGTGTAAAGCTTTCATATATGTATCCTTTAAAATATCCTGTTATATCTTTGAAAGCAAACCTTTTGCTTTACTTAATATTGTGTCACTGAATTAAGACAAAATATTCATGTGTATACTTAATAAACTTACATAACTAATTGTTATTTGAGGATTATTTTAGTGAAAAATTCTTCAATTAAATTTTTTCTTGATATCAAAAATTCAAAAACAAGTAATTTTTTTTTAACAAAACAGATATATCACACAACCCCATATTGTTGTTCTTAACAAGATATGTTGCATAATGTTATAAAATAAACAGCCAACATTTATATATATATCAACAATTTCACATCAAAACACCATATCAATGACTTAACATGTAAAATTTTTCTATTATTGGCAGGTATTTTTATGATGCCTTTGATATCGTACTAGCAGAGTAAGGCATTCCAACCTCTCAACTTCAAATGTTAAGATTTATGTTAATAGCAGGTTTTTTTACAACACTGCTTTACAGAAATGTAAAAGCTTAATAATAATATCTATAAAAGATATAATTCCCACTTGTGAATCCAACAATTTCAATATTTTTTTAAGCATTAAAAGCTAATATGTGTTATAAAAAGATATAAATGTGTGTATTCAACACAATTTTAGAGATTCTATTAATTTTTTGAACTTCAACCATGATAAGATATATTTTTAGCAAATCTGAGCCAAACTTTCATTACTGCTGTAAACTTAAAATCCATCTTTGGAAGATAAAAATGGCAGTGATCAAATCTTATGGAAGACTTGAAGAACCTGGAAAATTTGTGGTTAAATATAATATTGATAAATGCATAATATGCTATTAGAGGTACTAGTTTTTTTTTCTCAAGTTAACCTACATATAACTTAAAATTTAAAATCCAATACTAAATTGGTATGAAAAAAATTGTGACCCTAAATAACATTCTATAAATGTGGGTAAAAAGCAACAAAACTGCCACCGTAGCCTTATTTGCTATTTTTCTAATGTCTGTAACCTACTTTCAACAACTCATTGAATGACAGAGTTATCTCCCATGCACACTACACATTAGCACACACATACACACACCTATTATGATTATTTACATTGTATGAGACATTGCACATATTGGTACCTTCACAGAAGGTTTTGATGAGGATTTGTTTAATCCAATCATCAACAAACTCAGAAAATAAATATGAATCACTTCTTTACAAATGAATGAACTCTGAACTTCATAATGATTCTCGTTAGTAATTTTTTTTTAAACTCTTAGATCTAAAAAAAAAACAACATCTTTATAAGGTGCTCCTACATGTTATATGTACCAGTTATTAATTGTTGTCTTCTCTATTCTAAACTACAAGTAATTTTTCATTAACCATATTCACAGATACCTTGTCTTGTATTAATTAAATCTTGTATTCTTCCAATTAATTAACATCTGTTAACCACCAGAGGTCAATTTCTAAACAATTACTCAGAACATCAGCTTTTCCTTCAAATTTTGACTAGAAAACGAAATAAGTTTAATTTTTTTGTTGGTGAAAAAAAAAATCGTTCTTTTTTCTAAATCAACAGTTGATGTTTACATGAAACTGTCTATCTTCAATATTATTCAAAAAGATTGGTCCTCATTTTTATTGAGTGGTTCTTTTGAAAATAAAGTACTGTCAAATTTTCATATCCCTTTAGATGAAGAGAAGTCTTATATGGCATATATCTATGGTTTTAGTACAAATCATATGAAATAGTTTGTTAACATGATAATGGGAATCCACATGAATTCTTCAAGTGTCGTGTGTGATCGATGGGATCCAAATCAAAACCTTTGGCACGCATCATCTGCATCAAGTCTCTGTCTTCTTCTCGTTCTCTGCAAGAAAATATATAAAATGTTATAAGTTTTCAAAAGTAAATACAAACCAAGAGTTGTTTAAACTGTTTTTATTTTAATACTATAAAAATACTCCTTTTTGTTAAGTACAATAACTACAATCCTGTGAACATTTATACAGGCAAATAACTATTATTACCACATGGCCTTAATATAACACACCTTAGAAGGTCTAAAATTATACCAGTAATTAAATGTGTGACAGTTCAATCCATCATTGCTATTATGCATGGTAGCATTAACACCTGATCCTTGCAGAGCTCAGTAAAAAAAAAACAAGCATTCTGAGAGTATTGCATGGTAATACATAAGTCCCCTACCAGTTAAAAATTCTTTGTACTGGAACAAAATTGATCTTTCACTTGTCATGGTGTAAGCTATATAACAAATATCAAGTCAATATCTTCAAGCATGACGCAAAAAAAGTGGGGAAAACTGATAATTGAAGTGAATTTTCAGTCCAAGGACCATAACTCTGCACAAAATCATCAGACCGGAACAAAATTTTAACTTGATCTGTAACTTGTCATGATAAAACTATATACCAATTATTAAATCAAAACCTTCAAGCATGACAAAAAAAAGTGTGGAAAACTGATTATTTGAGTGAATTTTCTAAGTCCAAGGATCATAACTCTGCACAAAATCATCAGACCGGAACAAAATTTGAACTTGATTTGTAACTTGTCATGATAAAACTATATACCAATCATCAAATCAATATCTTCAAGCACGAAGAAAAAAAGTGTGGAAAACTGATTTGCTGGACAGACAGACGGACGGAGTGCAAACCTAAAGTCTCCATCTACTTCGTCGGTAGGGGACTAAAATGCTGTGTTTTCAGATTTAAGGAATTTTTGGTTATTGTTGAAGCACACAGGAGAAGGAAACGAATTAGGTATATAATTAAGTGAATTGAATCCTTTCATATGTTAAAAAAAAGAAAAGAAAACTTGTTTTTACTAATCATGCAAGTTTTTACATGGAAGAAAAATTATGTATACATTCAAGTAACTTCTATACTAATTATGTAACTTTAATTCTCCTAACATTTAATATAATGCAGTTAGTAAAACTAGGTATTGCTATACTGAAAATAACTGCATTTCATTGTAAAGATTAGTTCAAAACCTACCATCAAAATAATAACATTAAACAGCACTTTGAATAATGCTCCAATTATCCAAGTCATCACTGAATGAGACTTATCATTGAATTTGTACTAACACGAGTACCAGGACAGGTGCCACATGTGGAGCAGAATCTGATTACCGGTACCCTTCTGGATCACCTATGATCACCCCAGCTTTTGGTGGGGTGCCTGTTGCTCAGTCTTTAGTTTTCCGTGTTGTTTTTTGTGCAACATAAACCAGTAAAACCCCACCTCCTCCTTTGGGAGCAGGGTAAAACTAAACTATTATTCAATGAAGTTTTGAAAAATTGGTAAAATGGAAGGAAAAGCAGGTTATTATGGTTTCCCAAAGACAAAATTCTGATGGGTAGAATCATTATTCACATTTCAGGTCATTTAATGTAAGCTTGAAATTAACAATCTGAGTGTGTGACACCCTCCTGACAATAGCCATCAGTTTTATTTTCTATTTCCGCTCCAACAATCTCTTTTAAAAATTAGATTTTCCCTTTGAATACCTGACTCTATCTTCTTCAATCATTTTAACTAGGCTATTTTTCTCCTCAACAACCTCTAACAATTCATCAAGGATTCGTTTCTCCTCAGCAGCCTGTTCAGGAGTCTTTTGTTCATCTGTAAATTAATGTTAGCCGTAAAAAGACATGCACAAGCAAAAAATAAAGTAAATAAAACATCTACCATACAGAATAAGTCAAGTAATAAGAGTTAGTACTACTTTCTTCAAGTTAACTTTATAGTACTCTAATCTTTATCATCAACATATAGTTCAAAGAGGATTAATACAATTGATCATAAATTCTTGACTTTTTCTGAAAATTGAAAAATAAAAAAGTTGTCTACCATATTATAAAATTATCAAAAAATAAAGAATTTGTTAGATGCAAATAGTGTGTGCGTACCGCAGGTAAATAAATGTTACTGTGAAAGCAGCAATGAAATAAAATCTACACACAAGTGTTTATGTTGTGTGAATTGATATATGTATGTGTTCATTATTTTCTCTATTCATTAACTGGAAAGTAACACGACTGATTTCCAACATGTAAACAGCAAAATTTAAAACATCAATTGACAATAATTTTGGATTAAAGGAAAATTTTTTAAAAACTTTTTTTATCGATTTTTGCTAAAATTGCTGGAATTTTACAGAAAATGTGATAAATCAAAATAAAATTGCAAAAGAGAGGGATTAGAATCTATAGATAAATTTTGTGCAAGCCAAATAATTGGTTTCCACCCCACCCCCCCCAAAAAAAAATTTAAAACTTTTTTATATATTGTACCAATTTTTGATACAAACTATTAAACGTACCTGCATGCCACAAGTGTAGATTTCTTGCTTAAAATTTACCTTACTGAATATTTTTAAGCATTAGGTAAACATTGCAATCAGTCATGTTGGAATATACTTTATAATGTATCAAAGCATGTACAGAACTTGCTGGAATGTTTTCACATAAATAACTATCAATAGGTTATAAGATAAGTAGAATACATGTGCTACTATAGTCTTCATACATGTACCTCCAATGAAAGAGAACAGATAAGAGGATAGATCAAAACATGTAACATCTACTTGTAAAAGAATGATCTGTTTTCTTCTAAGAGCACACACCCCAATAGAATTAATTGAAAAAGTGGGTATTAAATCACTTTATGATATATAATAGTAGAATATCTCTTTTCTCTATGTATGTTAAAAGAAGTATGAATTTTTTTATCATTGCTGTTTTTTTTATATATAAATGTCTGGAATATGATGATTTAGTTATAAACTTTGATATAAAATGTCATTTTTAAATCCTGTCTACAAATAGTGAAATCTCAACATTTAAAACTTACACCAAAAATCAATTGAAACAACCCATGGTATCCAATGTCCCACTGCCATCAAACAGAAAAAAAATATAGGAATTATAAGGAAAAAATGTCAGTAAATCTAATGTTAACTGTTGAAAAAAAAACTTTGGAAAATCTGGAAATAAAAAAATATGGAGCAAAGCAGGAGGTGAGGACTCACATTTCCGAGGTAAATAAACCTCACTCATCTCACTTGTCGAGAATCGGTTACTTCTACGACCTGTTTCTGAATTAAATTTTGACATTTTAAGCAATTTATATTCAATTGTAGAATTAACTCATAATTTTATACAGCAACATTAAGCAAACCATTGCACCAACAGTGACAAAAAAAGCATATGGCATATGCTGAAAGGCACGCATAATGACCTGGATTTTTTAGGGCATAACAAGGAAACAGTACACATAACTACACAATACACAAAACAAGTAGTTGAATATGGTGACAATTCACTGATAAACAAACAATTACGGTAAAAAAGGGATATAACTGACAAACAAATCAAGCGGGATATATATAATGCTGCATGATTTCACATTTTGAATGATTGATGTATGTTTCCTTGGTTTAAAAGTGCAATCACTCATCAAGACAACATGTGCTCATTACAAATCATCACTCAAAAGATGACCCTAATACCAGATATATAACCCCTTCCACATGTATAAATGTATGACTGAATCCTTTGCAGGTCTTTATCTACACACGTTACTGTTGAACAATGGACAAAGATGGAGGATTAATTATTCCAATTTCAGGAAATGTTGCATACAAATAAGGATACTCTGAACTCATTATTATTCGTGGGATACCAATTTTCATGTTTCCATGGGTACAGGTGAACCCTGATTTTAAATGTCCAAGTAAGTACAAACTTTCCTTAAGCTTGTATGCAGACTTGGACAAATCCACAATATCAAATATCCATGAAAATACAATTGAAATTCACAAAAAATTGGAACTCACGAAAATAAATGAATCCACAGCAACAAAATTTTAAAATGCAAAACCTATGTTGTCAAAATTTTCGTAAAAATAAAATCATCACAAAAACGTCTGAATTTAGCTTGAAAGCTATAATTTGCATCCTCCATTGACTTCCTGGAAAAGATCTTTATAATTTACTCTAAAATGCTGTTAAATGTTATTGACTGTTGAATATGTAGCCCTCTAATAGTGGATTCATAATCTGGTGTAGATTCTGTATTAATTGTTTCAAGCCCTGCATGACTAAGGATTCAGTTGTAAGACATAAGGGTGATGAGACATACGTGAAATGTGAACACTGTGAATTGTCACCCACACATAGAAAAACAATATCTGTGAAGATAAACTACCTTTCAGAAGTAATTTAACTAAAAACAAAATGGAATTTGTTTGAAAAATTTCGTTTAAAAAAATGTTTGTGCCATGGACATTTCCCACACATGAAATTAGTTTCCCAAACCATATTCCTAAAAAAATCCATTTTCAACTGATTTACAAAGAACAATATATCATCTTTTAAACTAAATAAATGTGGATAGTGTCCACATGTGGACACAGATGATGCCCCCGCTTGCATATCATATAGTTATAAAGGGACATAACTGAAGAACGGTAAAAGTGACGCTACCCAAATTTGAACTTGATCTGAGTTTTGTGGTAATAAGCATTGTGTGTAAGTCTCATAACATTTGGTGGTGGCTAACTTAAGTAGAGAACAGAAACTAAAAATTCAGCAATTTTTCTATTTGTAAACACGCATAACTCTAGAACGGTTGTGTATAAGTTTTACAACATTTGGTTGAGACAAACTAAAAAATTCTGCAATTTTTATGTTTATAAAGGGACATAACTCTAGAATGGTAAAAGTGTTGCCACCTAATTTCGTACTTAATCTGTATTATGTAGTAATAAGCATTGTGTATAAGTTTCATAACATTTGGTTGAGGCAAACTCAAGTTAGAGAACTGAAACAAAAAAATTGTACTTGATCTTTACTGAGTTTTGTGGTAATGAATATTGTGTATAGGTTTCATAATGTTTGGCTGGGGAAAACTTCAGTTACAGAATGGAAACTAAAAAATTTTGCAATCTTTCTATTTATAAAGGGGCATAACTCAATAATGGTTAAAGTGACACGACCCAAATTCAACTTGATCTGTGTTTTATCAGTGGAAGTCAAAATTAAACATTGCATTGTATAAAGCAATGATTGAAGTTGATTCAACTATAATCATGGTCAAAGGAAGATAACTCCAATTTTAAAAATATATTATATAAACTTGATATTTAGAAGAAAATAAAAATTTTGCAATTTTTCCTTTTATAAAGAGGCATAACTCTAGATCGGTTAAAGTGACACCACCAAAATTCAAACTTGATCTGTGTTTTGTGGTAATAAGCATTGTGTATAAGTTTCATAACATTTGGTTGAGGCAAACTTAATTTAGAGAACGGAAACTAAAAATTTTGCAATATTTCCTTTTATAAAGGGGCATAACTCTAGATCGGTTAAAGTGACGCCACCAAAATTCAAACTTGATCTGTGTTTTGTGGCAATAAGCATTGTGTATAAGTTTCATAACATTTAGTTGAGGCAAACTGAAGTTAGAGAACGGAAACCAATTTCGGGACGTACGTACGTACGTACGTACGTACAGACGGACAAGGGTAAAACTTAATGCCCCCTCCGCTACGGCGGGGGCATAAAAAAATTCAAATGAGTGCTTTAAGAATAAAATATAAGAAAAGTGCTGGTCAAGAACCATTGATTTGTGCAAACTGGAAGACCAGAATGAAACCAAATACCAAGCCAAAATACCCAATGCCCTTAATGTGTAAGTGGGGGAAACTTTACCATATACGGCACATTTTCTAAACATTTCTGACAATGGACAATCTTGAACTTGTAATTTTAAAATACCTATTAAACACAATTAAATGATTGTCAAATTCATACATTTTATCTAAACACTCTTTATATACTTATCATATATACAAGTATACATTAAATCTGACATTATATTTGATCTATTTATTGTAGATATATGCATCTACCCAATATCTGTATCAAAAAGTTACAGTAAATTTGACATCTAAGAGTTCAAATTTTTTGCTGTTGGGGTTCTGTCTCATTGTGCATACCACATCTCTTTTCAATCACAGTGAAAAATAAATAAATTAAGTTTCAGATTTACAGGTATATTTTTCTCCATAAAATGAACACCCGAAAGCCCTTTTTTGTGTCACAAATATACAACCCAGTTCAGTGATGCAGAATAATTTATGATGCACTGACAACTCAGTAGATGAAAAGCAAGTCTCATCATGAGACTTCACATTTTAGTCATATGAATGTTAGTAAATCATGCACAAGATGCAATCCATATAGTGTTCTATTTCTTAGTAATTTTTCAGTCTTTAAAGATAGCAAAACTCTTCAAACCCGACTGTATCCATTAAAATAAGTGTACAGATGAGATTTAAAATGCCAATGTAGCAAGACCCCAAAATTTGAAAATTAAAGATTTAAAAATGCAATCTTCCATGCAAATGCATATTTGTACATTCAAATTATGCAAATAAACTTCTAAAAATGAACTTACTGTTGATAGCCATTCTTTCTCTTAGTTCTTGTTCTAACCGCCCATGTCTGTCTTCTAGCTCCATATATTGGGCACTACAACATATTATGTAATTCTTTACAATTATAAGAATCTACAAATGATCTAATAGTACATGTACTTTCAAATCAAATACCAGGACAATATAATTTCATTTAAATTCATTTTTCTAAATTATCTCCCTTGAACTTTTCCAAAAACAACAGAATTAAACGCAGTTGAGACCATGTAGACTTAACCTATCACATGCCAAACAAAAATAATATTTGCAAAGATTTTTTTCTACAAATGGTCAACTGAAAATAAATGTAAGGAAAACTGTGCAACTAACAACCACTACTAACACAGTAACTATATGTATGCTATGGTAGACTTACTTGACCATCAGTTCTGATTCATATCTAACGAGAGCATTCTTCTCATATACCAAATTAAACCATTCCTGCATCAATTCTGACTCAACTCGCCCTGATTCTGTAAATATATATATGGAAGTAAAAATACCTGCTGTATAAAATCAAACTCAGAAATTTACCAAAATATAAATAGCAACAAGCATATTTATGCTAAAACAAGTTAGTGACTTTGAAAATAACATGTAACTTCTAAAATGTTGACTGACATTTACAGTTAACAAATTCCTGTCCAGTTCTGCTCAAACAAAGGCTCGACTCCCTAAAGCAAAACCGTTCATAGATGGTTTTAATTCAGATTTTGTTGTTAGGGGATATTTTTGTTATTTTAGTCTTAATATTTAATGTAAAAATGATAAATTAAATTTCTGTATTAAATCTTGGTTGCTGGATATTAAGCAACCATAATCAATCAATCATACTAATCAGATAAATTTGACATCTCAAGATTTAAAGAGTTTTTTTTCTTATTCTAAAAAATTAGAAACTTCATCAAATACAGTATCTTAATAAATTATTCCATGCATCTATTAATGCAATTGTGGACAATCAACACAACTGCAAGTTTTATAATTGTGATTTCAGGAAATATTACATACACATAGTCATGCTAATGCTATCAAAATTTAAAAAGCAAGTTATTTTTTTTTCAACATCTATCTTGTCGCAATTTTTGTAATAATAAAAATATCTAAAAAAAAAAAATACTGAATTTACAACAAGATAATCCCTCTACTCAGACAGTATTCCTTTTAAACTGGTAATAGGGATAAATACCTTCTCCTTCTCCTCTTAGGGCTTTCTCCACAACAACTCCTCTCTCCTCTAACTCCTTTTGTTTAACATCAACCTCTTCTAGTTGTCTTTGAATCTCCTGAGCTATCCTCAATCTCTTCTGTTCTTTCTGCTTCAACTGTTTACGAGCTGCTGATTGAACACGGCGAGCTATCTTTATATTCAGTTCATCCTCCGTTAAATTTCTCTGAAAAAGAAAATAGTTTGTTTCGGTTTTCTATACATCTTGCTACTAAATTCTACATTTATGAGCAGATATTTCACTTAATAATACACTTTCTTATAGAAAGAAAATTTATAAATTTGAACCTCCTTCTGATTTAATTTTCTATACATCCTGCAGGAAACTAACAGTATTGTAGGAATATTTGTTCCTATGAAAGTCACAAAATTCAAACTTATACAATTATACAATTTAAAAAATTTTGGAACCAAAAAACCTAGATACTTTGAATTAATTGGTATCCATAGAGGAAAATGGATTTGGGGAGTGCAAGGGATACAATCAGACACCTGTCACAAAATATGTAACTATCTAAAGTGTAAGAATCCTTACAATAACAAGCATTCAGAGAGTATTGCATGGCAATACATAGTCCCCTACCAGTTAAACATTCATTGTACTGGAACAAAATGCTAACATAATCTATAACTTGTCATGGTGTTAACTATATAACAAATATCAAGTCAATATCTTCAAGCATAATGAAAAAAAGTGTGAAAAACTGATTATTTAAGTGAACTTTCTATGTCCAAGGACCATAACTCTGCACAAAATCATCAGACAGGAACAAAATTCAACATTGATCTGTAACTTGTAATGATAAAACTATACACCAATTATCAATTCAATATCTTCAAGGACGAAGAAAAAAAGTGTGGAAAACTGATTTGCTAGACTGACGGATGGACACAGACAGATAGACAGACAGACAGACAGACAGATGGAGTGCAAACCTAAAGTCCCCTTCGACTTCGTTGGTAGGGGACTAAGAGCCTTGTGTTATGATGCATCTCCTGGTCAAAATTCCTATGTACGAGGCACTCAACTCTCTTTTTTTCATATAAATATAGTTTAAGAATACTGAATAAAATGCTCCGCTGGGGCGCAGCTTGATACGACCGCAGAGGTCGAACCATGAACAGTTGGGGCAAGTATGGACACAACATTCAAGCTTGATACAGAACTGAATTTGGATTGTAATTAAATATTTGACACAGCATAGGTTTCTCACACAGAATGAAAGTGGTCTTAGAACTTAAAAATTTTTAATTTACCTATTCAAACCATATCATTATTATTTGCTTTTATATTTAAATCAGAAATAACCAATTTAAAATGGATAATTTAAAGAAAAAAAAGGAAAAAAAAATCCCCCCAATTTTTTGAACCCCCTCATGATTCATCACCCCCAAACTCAATCCCAGCTTTCCCTTTGTGGTATGGTACCTTGCAGTACAATTTCAGAGAGATCCATACACTTGAACACAAGTTATTGTCTGGAAACTAGAAAAATGCTTGTTTTTTGGCCCTTTTTTGGCCCCAAATTCCAAAACGTTTAAGGCAATTACCCCCAAACTCAAACCCAGCTTTCCCTTTGTGATATGGAACCTTGCAGTACAATTTCATAAAGATCCATACACTTACACACAAGTTATTGTCATGAAACTAGAAAAATGCTTGTTTTTTTGCCCTCTTATGGCCCCTAATTACTAAAATTTTGAGGGAATTACCCCCAAAATCAATCCCAGCATTCCCTTTGTGATATGGAACCTTGTGATACAATGTCAGAGAGATCCATACACTTACACACAAGTTATTGTCATGAAACTAGAAAAATGCTTGTTTTTTGCCCCTTTTTTGCCCCTAATTCCTAAAATTTGGGGGCAATTACCCCCAAAATCAATCCCAGCATTCCCTTTGTAAGATGGAACCTTGTGATACAATGTCAGAGAGATCCATACACTTACACACAAGTTATTGTCATGAAACTTAAAAAATGCTTGTTTTTTGCCCCTTTTTTGCCCCTTATTCCTAACCTTTTTGGGCAATTACCCCCAAACTCAATTCCAGCTTTCCCTTTGTGATATGGAACCTTGTAGTACAATTTCAAAAAGATCCATACACTTACACACAAGTTATTGTCATGAAACTAGAAAAATGCTTGTTTTTTGCCCCTTTTTGGCCCCTAATTCCTAAAATTTGGAGGCAATTACCCCCAAAATCAATCCCAGCATTCCCTTTGTGATATGGAATCTTGTGATACAATATCAGAGAGATCCATACACTAACACACAAGTTATTGTCTGGAAACTAGAAAAATGCTTGTTTTTTGCCCCTTTTTTGCCCCTAATTCCTAAAATTTGGAGGCAATTACCCCCAAAATCAATCCCAGCATTCCCCTTGTGATACAATGTCAGAGAGATCCATACACTTACACACAAGTTATTGTCATGAAACTAGAAAAATGCTTGTTTTTTGCCCCTTTTTGGCCCCTAATTCCTAAAATTTGGAGGCAATTACCCCCAAAATCAATCCCAGCATTCCCTTTGTGATATGGAACCTTGTGGTACAATGTCAGAAAGATCCACACACTTACACACAAGTTATGTCTGGAAGTTACAATAAAAATGCTTATTTTTGGCCCCTTTTTGGCCCCTAATTCCTTAACTGTGGGTACCATAACCCCCAAAATCAATCCCCACCTTCCTTTTGTGGTATTGAACCTTATGGTAAAATTTCATTGAGATCCATTTACTTAAACTAAAGTTAGAGTGCGAAAACTAATGTGTCTTCGGACGACGTCCACGCCAACGTCATACCAATATACGACCACAAAAATTTTTTTGCGGTCGTATAAAAATTCATTAATTATTAAAGTTTCTCTGAGCGTTCCTGATGAAGGTAAATCCAGAAAAGTGCTTCGGATGTATAAAATCCATAAAGTGTTGGTTTCATTTTTTTAACACTTTAACGGCTTTATATCTGCGGACAATACAGAACTTGTGTGGTGTTGGCACTCACCATCATATAAGGTCACACAGTGATCATTGCGAATTGTTTTTAATGCTGTGTATACATAAATTCAGTATTTTTCAGTATTTTTCCTACCTTAGATCTTCTATTAAGTGAAGCATCTGCTGATAAATGACTTTCGTCTGAATCTGAGAACTCATCAACTGTAAACATACACAAAACATTATAAATATGCCAAAAGAAGTCATAACAATGTTAGTTTGGTCAAAAAACAATTTATACCATATACTGTGGATTCATTTAGGGCTATTCCATTAAAATGTATGTGGGAGGGTAGGAAGGGAAGTTTAATTATTGAATGTGGGTCATGGGTCTTTTTTCAGTATGCCTCTATTACCATTATGCAAAATTATCTAAAAATGGTTCTTGGTTGTAGGGATATTTTGAAAGTCCCTTCCTACCCTCCCACATACATTTTAATGGAATAGCCCTTATTTTTGTGGGTACCAATTTTCATGGATTGAGGAAAAAGTGTATCTTTCTTGGACATTTGATTTCATGGTTTGCAAAAGCTTTGATGCCTTAAAAAAACCAATAGAAAATTTATACATTTATACTTGGTTAAACATTAAAATTCCTGGTTTACCTTACCCTTGAACATGTTGAAATCAGCGAAAAACTGGTATCCAACAAATAATAATGAATCCACAGTACTGTAAATTCAGAAATTTGTGTGTGCATCTATTTATTGTAAATTTTTAACAGTGGACAAAAAATGGACGATTAACTGCAATTTGAGGTAAATACTGCAAACAAATAATACTTTCAAAATTTAAAATGCAAATACTTATATTTGCTATACCTATCCCCTCGCAATTTAAGCAATACATGTATATAATACATCTAAAAAAATTCTGAATTTTAGTACTTAAAATATTCGCATATATTGGAATTTTTTTGTTTTTGTTTGTTTGATTATTTTTTTTTATATTCACAATGTCGTCCTGAATATACATGAAATATTTGCCACTGGACATTAAGCAACCAACAATCATTTATTCACAATGTTTAGTATGTTATATCTTTTTCAAATAAAATCTTATTTTCAACCTTTAAAAAAAGAATGGTTAAACTGTTTTAAAAAGTCATAAATAAATATTATATATATACATGATATATATCCATGTACATAAAATTATACTAAATGTACATATTTAAATGATAAGTGATTCTGATATATATATATATGTATCAATATTATCATTTTTACATATACTTCTGAAAAACAGTGAGTAACTCAGCAATTTTTAAAGTTTGCTCCAACATGAACTGTCCAAAGTTTGAAAGTTTGCTTTCAAAAATACCTTTCTTCTTTTTGTCTTCCAAATTTAAAACAACCCTTTTCTCTTTATGGGACATATTTGTAGTTATTCACCTACTTCCTAATCAGTACAACAATTAAGAAGTCTAGATATTTACTACACAATAGAATGATCTATAGAAATCTCTTTAAAGATGTATCAGTTACAAGTATCTACTTTCTATTATGAATCTTTGATCACTGATGCAAAGATAATCACTTATTTTATGTAGACCGAAGCATGCAATTTATATTTGTGATAATAACCAGTTAAGCTTGATCAATATCTGGTCTTTTCTATAAATTAGATTAAAATTCAGTACTTCAATGTATATGTTTTTTTTTTTTTTTTTTTTTTTTTTTAAATGTAAAAATCAGACTATAAAAATATTTTTCTCTTCAACTCATTGAACGAGGACTATTTTTTTTTTAAAACTTCTTACGTTTATATACTGACATTTTTCCATTCAAAGAAAAAATATCTTTAGTAGGAAACAATCAATAAAAAAATTAAAAAAAAATTAAAAAAAAAAAAAAAAAAAACTGACCTGAAAACAAGAAATTTGGCAAAATCAAAACAACCAGTCTTATTAACTGAAAACATGATCAACATGATGAAATTTGCCCAAAAAATTGAACCACCTTTATATGATATATGCAGTTATAAATATAAAAGTAGCCAATAAGGGAACAAATTTTGTTTAAATCCTCAACCACCAGCCATATCAAATCTAAATAAAATGCTCTGCTGGGCGCAGCTTGATACCACTGCAGAGGTCGAACCCTGAACAGTTGGGGCAAGTATGGACACAACATTCAAGCTTGATACAGCACTGAATTTGGATTCTGATTAAATATTTGACACAGCATAACCAATTTAAAATGGAAAATTTTAAAGAAAAAAAAAGGATAAAAAGGGGGAAAAAAATCCCCCCCCCCCATTTTTTGAACCCCCTTATGATTCATCACCCCCAAACTCAATCCCAGCCTTCCCTTTGTGGTATGGTACCTTTCAGTACAATTTCAGAGAGATCCATACACTTGAACACAAGTTATTGTCTAGAAACTAGAAAAATGCTTGTTTTTTGGCCCCTTTTTGGCCCCAAATTCCTAAAAGTTTAGGGCAATTACCCCCAAACTCAAACCCAGCTTTCCCTTTGTGATATGGAACCTTGAAGTAAATTCCATAAAGATCCATACACTTACACACAAGTTATTGTCCTGAAACTAGAAAAATGCTTGTTTTTTTGCCCTTTTTAGCCCCTAATTCCTAAAATTTTGAGGCAATTACCCCCAAAATCAATCCCAGCCTTCCCTTTGTGGTATGGTACCTTGCAGTACAATTTCAGAGAGATCCATACACTTGAACACAAGTTATTGTCTGGAAACTAGAAAAATGCTTATTTTTGGCCCCTTTTGGCCCCTTATTCCTAAACGTTTTGGGCAATTACCCCCAAACTCAAACCCAACTTTTTCTTTGTGATATGGAACCTTGTAGTACAATTTCAGAAAGATCCATACACTTACACACAGGTTAATGTCATGAAACTAGAAAAATGCTTGTTTTTTGTCCCTTTTTTGGCCCCTTATTCCTAAAATTTTGAGGCAATTACCCCCAAAATCAATCCCAGCATTCCCTTTGTGATATAGAACCTTGTGGTACAATGTCAGAGAGATCCATACACAAACACACAAGTTATGTCTGGAAGTTACAATAAAAATGCTATTTTTGGCCCCTAATTCCTTAACTGTTGGTACCATAACCCCCAAAATCAATCCCAACCTTCCTTTTGTGGTATTGAACCTTATGGTAAAATTTCATAGAGATCCATTCACTTAAACTAAAGTTAGAGTGCGAAAACCAATGTGTCTTCGGACGACGACGACGCCAATGTCATACCAATATACGACCGCAAAATTTTTTGGCGGTCGTATAAAAACATTCCATATAAGTTTTCTGGATCCTTTCAATAGGAAAATAACACCTTATTTTAAGTGGTTCCTGATCAAACTCCCACCCCAATCAATTATTACTGGACTAGTCAGCATGGTCGTAATCTAAACAACAACTTACAGTCAGCTCTGGGTGGCATAGATCTTCTCTGCAATAACGATGGACGTTTCTGTGAACCATTCTGTCTAAGTTTAACTTTTTCAGAAAATACAGACGGTAAATCTTTCATTTCGACTACATCTGTAGACTTTTGTCGTTTCTTCTTTTTTTCAGATTTAGGAGTCTTCTTCTTTTTCTTTGCTGATTTTTCTTCCAGTGTGTCAGTAGAAGAGGAACGATTCTTGTCCTTCAATTCTTTAGAGTGTTCAGGAGATTTACTGGGTTTTAGAATTTGTAATAAGGATTTCTTTTTCTTTGTAGATTTTGAAGGAGTTTCGGTATCAGATTCTTTTGATAATCCACTTTCTATTATATCTATAGATTCTTTCTTTTTCTTTTTCTTGTCTTTTGATTTTGGTGTCTTAAACACAGAATTAACAGGTGTAGAATGCAAGATCCCAACTTTTTTGTTTTCCTCACTATCTGAAACCATGTCACTTGTACTTGGCGTATTTGAAGTTCCTGTACTCAATTCTTTGCGCAATTTCCGTTGAATTTTCTTTGCAGAAATAGGGGTATAATTTATGTCCGATAATCCTAATTCCTCATCACTTTTCAACCTAGCTTTCAATCTAGCATTTTCTCTAGCTTTACTTATTTCTTCCTTTTTTAGTTCCCTGATATGATCGGCAGTTGGTGTACTTGGTGTTGGAGGAACAGGCAAGATACGTTTACGGACATCCTTATTTTGTATTTCAATCTTATTATCAGGTTTTGTTTTCACAGATGTCTTCGGAGTGTAAAACTGATCTTTTTCCTCTAAAAAGTCATCTTCACTATCATCGGCAAACGGAATATTGTCAATATTTTTGGGTTCCACTGACAAGACTGGGGGACTAATTTTTTTAAGACTTACATCAACACCTATTTTTTTCCTTGCACCTTCTTCATTCTGACTCGAACTATCTTCAATACTATTAAATGCCATTAATTTTGTTTTGTCGACTGAGATTTTGGTTTTCTTCATATTTACATCTTTTATAATATCAGGGGTATCTGAAAGAACACTAGGGGTATTTGTACTGGTTGAAACAGATTGTGTCAATTCGGGACTAGATGGCGTCTTTGATCCTGATGAAGTTGGAGATCCAAGACGTTTCCTCATAAACTCACTTTGGAATCCAGGAGGAGTAATTCTACTCTTCATATTGCTAATATCAGGCAGCTTTCTCCCTTCAGTAACAGACAAATTTTTCTCTATACTTTCATTAACAGAATACTGCACATCATTGTTAAAATCATCAACTGACTTCCTCTGCTCAATAACTTTAGAAGGACTTTTAATTAGCTCTAAACTTTTATCAATTGTAATTAATTTTCTTTCAGAACTTTTTACATTATTTGATTGTTCTGAATCTAATGGAAGTTTCTTTTGTCTTTGTAGCAGTTTCTTACTCTTTGAAATTTTTGGAGAAGTGGAACTTTTACGGGGACTCGCATTATCGTAAATTTGTTCCTTTTGCTGTTGTTTATTTAAATGATCTGGTAATTTCGGCAAAGGTCTCCACACAGACCCATCACTATTAATCAATGGTGCTATTACTTTTTTCTGATTACTAACAACATTTTGTTCATTGCTTATTTCACTACCATCACTACTGATCTGAGGGGAGATAACTCTTTTATGAGAAGTCACATCATTAGTTTCACTATTTTTATCAGAACTGAGTACACTACCATCACTGATACATTTTTCACAACTTTCCAATTCGTTAGATTCCAAAATCAAAGACTTTTCATAATTATTATTCATATTAATTGAATTCCCTGCAGACACAAATGTATCACTAGTAACACTTGCATTCGGGGTTTCATAAATACTTTTATCGACTTCTTTCTGTTCATTATCCATTTCAATTTCCTTCTCGGCATTTAACGTATCGTCCAAATTATCAATAACACAAGGAGTCACTTCCTCTGAGTATTCTTCGTCATCATCATCAAGTTTCTGACTTATCGTCACTTGATACTGACGGAAAATATCATCGTCCAAATCATTATCAGGGGTATCATCCTCCCGCTCGTCGTCTCCAGCATATTTCTTATTGTCTTCCGAAAGAGAAGTTAATGAGGAATGAGCAGAATTACTCGGAGTTGAGATTGTAAAGCTTGAATCAGATCCAAATGAATTCCTATACCTTTTCTTACCAGGGGTTTGATTTCTACCCCTGCCTCTAGAACATGTCACAAATCTATCATCAATACCTGTGAAGTCTTTATTTTCCTCAGAACTTTCCATATTTCTAACACTTTCTAAGACAGCCTGAGTTGTATTTTTAGAACTACTATTGCTGCTTGTCCTTTTTGAATTATTTATAGAGACACGATCCTCCTCTTCACATTCAATATCGGCATGATTATCCTCTGACATCACATATCTATTATCGTCTGACATCACCAATTCTTCATCACAAACTGAAGAACTATCCGTTTTTAAAATATGATCACCACTGCTGACAGATGATTTATGATCAAAATCAGCCAATAATTTCTCCATTTCATTTTTCAGTGCAGTTCTATCATTTTCACCTTCAGACATATTTTCATCATCACTTTCAAACACTTCTTCAAACTCGTCACCAGTATCTTGCTTATTTTCTTCCTCATTTTCTTCCTGATCTTCGTGCACATTTTCTTCTTGATCTTCATCACTGAGTTCACCATTAACGTTTTTGATTATTTTCTCTGCTTCATCAGCTATTTGTTCCCATTCTTCAATTTCTATTATTTCTTCTTCTACAAATTCTTCCTCTTCCTCTTCTTCTGATTCAGATTTCTTTTCCTCTTTCTTTTCTTCTGTTTTATTACCCATGTCAAACATTTTCCATGGGTCTAATCTGACTGGTTCAGGCGCGGTGTTAAAGAAGTTAGCTCTGGCTGATTTCATTGCTGATGGACTGTTAGCCTGATTTATATCAAGAGGTAATTTACCATTCTGTTGACTAGGTTCACTATCCTTACTGGGGTCCGTTTCTTTCTCAGTTTCACTTGTAGAATCATCATGTTCCTCTGTATCAGAGTCTGAAATTTATTTCAAGAATTAATTACTTATTCAGGGCTATTCCATCAACATGGATATGGGTGGATTAGAACGGAATTTACCATTTTAAATCTTGTTACTTATATTGAGCTTTAGCTATTAGCTTATTCCTCACTTTTTGGATACTGCAACGAACCAAGAACATTCATAATATCCTCTCTATTTATTTTGATGTACTCTTGCTTTTAAATTTTATTTTTATTCTGTTTGCTTTTTTTGCTTTTTTATCTTGTATTTATGGTTCCTGTTTGTTTGTTTTGTTTTTTGGTACTTTATGTGTAAGTTCTGTTAATGTGATTTTGGGGTAGTGGTTGGGTCCCTCCGCCCCCTTTCCCTTCTTTAAATGGCACATGTATTCATTTCCTGAAGAAAACTCTCTGTTTAGTACTTATCTCTAATTATTGCATTATACACATACACATAAGTTCAAAATATGTGACTCTGGCTTCCTACACCAATAAAAACTGACCACCACGAAATAGCACAATAGTGCTGAAAGTGGCATTAAATACCAATCAATCAGAGAATCAAATCAAAATATGTGCACTGTATTGACGAACAATGTAATACACAATCTGACAATGGCCCAATATTTATTGATAAGAGGGCTTTAAGTATACCTGAAACTTTAACATGGGCTATGAATTATCAGGAAAATTTCCATAATTCTCAACTTACAAGTTACAACTCCTTAAAACAAAGTTAATGTTTTGTTGTTTTAACCTTTTTTTAAATTTTACCCTTCTGATAATATTACTCCACATGTATTTTTTCAAATTTGACTGTCCTCATCTTCAGCTCTGAGCCCTTCTACATGAAGATTAAAACACAACAAAAATTAAACCTTTTATTAAAAGAATATGAATATATCACCCCTCCCCTTTTTTCAATGTATATCATTAACAATTTGCACATACCAGCCTCTGACTCTTCTTCCTCCTCTGGTGGTTTGTTCATCTTTTCATATTGTATCTGACTTTCAAGTTTCAGAGCGTCCAGTAGATTTTCATGTGACTTTCTTTTCAATGTTTCCACGACCTGTAATGCTTCCTCTAAAGTCAGATCTTTGCTGTGTCCCACGGTCTCATTGAGGACCTCATTTAGTTCTTCATCATCACTTGGCCTGAAAAATAGTTTAAACTCATTCAATTCATCAATTTCAATTGATTTCATGGATAAATACATTATAAGTGCTGCAAAGTACAATAAGAATCCTGACAATTAATTATTCCAATTTCAATTTCGTCTCATAATTGATAGGATACAAACAAGACAACACTAAATTAACTCTTTTCTGCATACTGTAATCTATGCTGAACAGTCGTCCTTTACATAATTTCAAAATTTCTTTCAATAGTTTTGTATACATATGGACTATGGACAAACCTTACAAAATGAAATTCTAATTCGAACCATTACAAACAATACATCTTAACTAACTAATATTATAAAAAGTAAAATAACAAAAATACCGAACTCCAAGAGAAATTCAAAACGGAAAGTCCTTTATAAAATGGCAAAATCAAAAGCTCAAACACATCTAACGAATATTACTAGTACTTTTCTTTTATAACAGTTTGTTAGTAATGATCTCAGTACAACATAGCCCTTACATGAACATCACATGACACAAACCAAACTTCAACAATTTGGAAGATGAAACAATTGCATTTTTTTATTAATTTTTTAAACCAGTACGCTCTATGATTTATTGTTATATTAATTTGATATTAAAAACACTAAAAAAAAATTGAATCGAAAATTTAAAAGAATTATTACATTAAACATAAATCTGTTGGCATAGGTTTAATGATGGTGGTTGAATGCTGCATTTGCACGAATGGTTTTAATTGTGGTACGGGGCACAGAGTTATAATCTAAGACCGTGTAAATTGTGTGTAGTGGCAATGATTCATTAAGTGGTATTAAATTCTAAAGTTTTAGGTTGAGTGCTTAAATATCCAATAATTAACAGCAATTTTAGAAATATATGCAATGATAAGACATTAATACAATGAAGTATTATACAGCTACTGAAATAAATTAAATATGTTAGTCAGTGTTCTCCCCATAGATTTCATATAGACAAATTTTTAAATTGTAACTTTTGTCTTCGAACTTGACCTTCATTTTGTCATTAGTATAACAACACATTAAAATTTCATAAGTATTGGTTAAACGGTTCAGATGTTATTGAACTGTAACATCTGTAGGTGCCTGTTAACCAGCCATACTATGCCAAATCAATGACCACTATTTTTTTAATAAGAAGTTGAGTTAAAAATTTATCGGAAAATCATTTCCGATAACTTCAAATAACCATAATGCTAAAAGGCCCTTGGGTGAACACTGTTAGTATTGAAGTACTGTGCCATTTCCTTTAATTTTAGTTTCTACGTTTTGCCCTACTACAAATGATTTAAATAATTGATAGATAGCAATAATTTATACTTTACATAAACATAAGTAAAGTTTTTAATGATGATCTCATTCTGAAAAATAAAAATTCACTCCATTACATTGTGAGGAGCTTAGGGTGTGTAGGGATTCACTTGGATATAAATCAGTTGCGCATTTCTGCTGTTCTCAGTCAAATACCAGTGGTGACTATAATTAGGCTAATTGTTCTGTTACATTGTTTTAAGGTGGTACCAAACACCTTGACAAAAATTAATTTGGCTTGTTAATTTTCATAAAATTTTGACAAAATATTTACTTTGACCCTTTGACAAAAAATATAAAAATTTTAAAGACACCCTACACTTTATCGGAAAAATTTCATTGGCTATATAGCAGTTTGATAAACACTAATTTTGATCATTGAGAAGCTTAATATTTCCTTAACAATAGAACGTGATTAAAGCGTTCAGCTGATTTTTACAGAGTTATCTCCCTGTAGTGTTATGTACCACCTTAACATTGGATCTCACAAGATTATGGATGGGCATGTACAAAAGTGTGACATCTTTCAATTAAACTCAATATAAGTGATAAATTTCAAAGACATTTATCTTCAATTGCCAATGAAGTCGTAACTAGTTTAAAGCATTGAAACAAGTTTAGAATTATAAAATTACAAATTTGTTGAAAATTAAAATAAATTCACTATATTTCCTGAGAACAACAGATCACTTCTACCTTCTCTTTCTTTTGTATTTCCTGAAACAAAGAATTATTTGCCAAAAAATAGCACAAAAATACAAGCACATTGAATGTTGCAGCCTGCTTATGGAATCCAAATTCTGATTGAAGATATGCAACTTGTAAATAAAATCATTACATGTAAATCTTATTTTTTTTACAAAGATCTTTTATCATTCAAAATCAGCAACATTAGCAAAATATGTAAAGTAAAAAAATGTCATATTCAATTCATCTGTGCCAAAAAAGTAAATAAAGTTTTTTTGTGAATTGCTTATGCTTTTGTTTTGATTTTTGGTCTAATGTATTTACTATTTTTCTCTCTTTTTCTTTTATTTTTACGTAAACTTCATTTATCTTGGAATGAAATTTAGTTGAAAGACTGATTTACTGCTCTTTGAACAAATATTTCAACCTGACTCCAAGTCAAACATGTCATACAAAGGCTGTGAACATTTCAGAAGAAAACCAAAGTAAAACAAACAAACAAACAAACAAACAAACAAACAAACAAACAAACATGCTTCAGTAGAACTCAATATATAAACAACAACTAACATTACAAGCAAAAAACCTTCTTCAATTTTTTCGACATGAAAGTTTTAACTGTGTGTTTCTGTTATTGCTGTTTCTTATTCTGCTGCTAAACGAATCTACTGTAAATTCAGAAATATTCTGGAATGCTTTTAGTATTGCAAAAATTGCTATAGGAAATGTGAGATGAATCATTGCAATTCCAGGAAAAGCTGCATAATAACAATGCTTTAAACGCATGTTTTGACTTTGTTTGTCGTTCCAACCATCGCAATAAAAAATACACGCAAAAATTTCTGAATTTCCATAACTAAAGGGATCACTATTCAACCTAAAACTAAATGCATGATCAAATCAAAATAATAAACAATGTAATATTTAAGTGATTCTATGGATGCACAATCTGTGCAGTTCATTGATAGGAAAGAAATCTAGGCTACACAAATCAACAAATATCATCCAGGTACAAGGTAGCAAGAACTAATTAAACACACTGGCATTCAAAGCCTACCATTGACTCAGTGTGTGAGCCATCTCATAATCTATTAAATCACTGAAAATACAATGGAAATTATTACTGTTGATTTAACCCATTTCTCAGTCTATTGTTCTGTTCTAACAGTAGATTATTTTTCAAGAATCCATTGTCGCCCAGAATTAACATATATTCTAACTTTTGACTTATAACTTTCAAACTAATGTTGCATGATGATCATCGCTTAAGAATCCACCTCTTCTTATAAATCTCTAATACGTAATTTTAAAAGCTTACCTACTTTAGATTTGTTTATTTTCCTAGGCACAAAATTTCATGGATTTAAGAAAACTATTTTCATGAATACTTGATTTCATTGTTTTAACAAATTTTCACTCCTTATTTATAAAGCATGATAAGAGTCCACAATCTCACTTTTTTTTACCACTGACTTTTGTCAAGAATGTTTCAGTAAAATTTTCTTAAACTTGCAACTGATTTATATAGGTAGCAACCAATAAACAAATTTAGAACAATTATTTGACCTTTATAAGTACAAATCCCAAATTATCCTGTATCAATTAAAAATATGTTCATCAAGCCCGTAAAATAAAATCCAACTCAGAAAAGAACACATGTAGTAAATACATAGTTAAAGTAAGCTCTACAACAATATTATCTATCAAATAAACATGTACATACTCTAAATCTGAATCACTGAGGTCATCGTCCATGTCCAGTAGTAAGGCATCAGATGACATGGACGCCCTCAGATTATGTTCTGTAAGCTCCTCCTCAGACTCCTCTTGTAGACCATCTATACTGTTCTCAAACTCTATACGCTCTGGGGTCTTCTTTGGTTTAGGCTCATCATCAGGTGGGCTTAACGGAGGGGTTAGTGGGGCTAAAAAGTAAATCATATACCATATTACGGTCATCTAATAAATCATATACCATATTATGGTCATCTACTCTGCAAGTGGGGCTAAAAAGTAAATCATATACCATATTATGGTCATCTACTCTGCAAGTGGGGCTAAAAAGTAAATCATATACCATATTATGGTCATCTACTCTGCAAGTGGGGCTAAAAAGTAAATCATATACCATATTATGGTCATCTTCTCTGCAAGTGGGGCTAAAAAGTAAATCATATACCATATTATGGTCATCTACTCTGCAAGTGGGGCTCAAAAGTAAATCATATACCATATTATGGTCATCTACCATTTGTGTCCTTTTCCTGATCATGTCATTTTGACTGAGTGGGGATTCGCATGGAGGGTGATGAATGCATAGCAGGAGACCCTTACCCTGTAGATGCAAAGGTGATGTATGCACAGCAAGAGACGCCTACCCTGTCGACATTCCCACACTCCTTTAGTTCATGAGAATCTCTTAGTTATTGTTTGTTGCCTTGATTTGTCTTTTTTATTGATTTGTGAGATTTGAACAGCAGTAAACTACTTTTGCCTTCATTTATGGGACTTAATTCACTAGTATCTCTTCGTTTTTGAAGATACTATCTATGTCCACACCTTTCTATCTCTTTTCTTCAACAACTTTCTCCCTCTCTCTCTCAATACATTTATTAACTCTGAATTCTGACACTGTGGAAGGAGAATCATTTTCAGGGTATAGACAATTTTTTTCATATTTTCGTTTTGAAATACTTTTATTCATTGCAGTTCATTAAAACAAATATAATCCAAAAAGATACCTTTTGACTATGAGAATACTTTTTTTTTTGAAATCAGTACAAATGTGTGTCTTTAATTTTGGTTGATTTAATTAATATCCACATCAACAAATCAAATTTTCTGTCATGAACACATTCTGTTACTTACATGGAATTTTCTTGGGAGATGTTCTCCTCTCAGGTTTTGGTGATGGACCAGCATCAATGACAACCTTTGGAATATTTTCCTGTAATAATATAAGGTATATTTGGTATTTGTTACAAATTGTAAGTTCACTGGACTCACAGCATTCATTACTCCTGATAAAAGCAAGTCAAGAAAAGCACTTTGAACATGATAAATGTGACATATATGATTACTAGTTCAGTTGACTATTAATGGGAGAGGGTATCTGTCCAGCAGGCAATGCATCAATGCTAAAATGATTTTTCACATACATTTTTATGAATTCTTATTCAACTACATTTTTCCTAATATGTGTATTTAGGTTCCAACTTCCATAACAAAAATTGCTCTAAAGACAGTTTGAGTTTGTTTTTGGTTGATTATTTTGTTTGTTTCTTTGCTCTTTTTTTTGTCTTCAATTTAATACAAATTCTCAATATGAACTGATTTTTTTATGGTAAATTCTAAGAAATGTACCTCAAAACATTAAAATTCTTCATTGTTTATTGTTCCAAGGTGTAATGTCAAATTGAAATGTCTATGACATTGACCTTCAAGACAGAAAATTAAACATTCCTCTCCATAAACCTTCTTGTGGTTGACTACAAAAGTCACTTGATCATAATAAACCATTTGTATCCTTCACATAGTAATAAATGTTTAAAAGACTCATCTCTAAGAAAATCTGTAAATGAGTTACCTTAATCTGTTCCTCTTCTTCATTGTAACCTCTTTTTCTTTTAAATTTCGAAAATCTCATTTCTAATCTGGAATGCCGGAAGCAGAAGAACTTCACTGTAAAAAATAAAAATAATTTTTAAATTGTTTTCACATTTTCTCATGCTGGGGCTTTAATAACTTAACATACAGTATGGATTTTGCTCATTGTTGAAGGCAAATGATGACCTATTATTTTTTGCATCCTTGTCATCTGGTCTCTTCTGGAAGTTGTCTAAATGGTAATCATACCACATCTTCTTATATTTATTATAATGTTTAAGTGAAAGAAACAATTCCTTCAAAAGACAAAAATTATGCACATAATTAATCTAATTTCATCAAACCTTTGTATATGTAAAAAAAAACTGTGATTGCATTACATACTCAATAAAATTTACAAATATAGAGGTCATAAAGAATAATTACCATCCCCAGTGGGCAGTTTATCAGCACTATAATTATTCAGGCGTAATCCAACGTCACAGTAATCACATTTGAGACATCCTCGGTGGAAAAACAGACCCTCTGCACTCATCCTCTCCATTAGGTAGACACGTTTCTTACAGAAGTAACAGGTTTCACTCACTGGTTGTGCTGCCAATAAAACACCTGGTGTCTTCTGTTGAAATATATTTTATTATTTTTTTTTGAAATTACATATAAACAAAACATGACAGCTAAAGCAAATTTATTTCACTTGAAGAATTCTTAAAGCAATGAGAAACACTATTTGTACCTCCAGTTTTGTTAGGGTTTGTGTTGCTCAGTCATTTTTGCCATGATTTTGCTGATCTCTCTTCCAATTTAATGATTTTTTATTCTCTATTTCGTATCTTCTGCCCCTTTTTAAAAGTTTACAGTGCCTGTTAATCATCAAAACCGCAACCTGGTTCCTTATAACATAAAAACTTTTATAGCATTTGAAAAGGTTACCAGTGATTCTGACTATCTTTTGCATGGCTGTGCCTTTCTTTATTGAACTCTTCCATACAGTAATGGATGGAATCCCTTAAACCCCTTAAAAATTAAAAACTTACCAGTTTCTTGACAGGTGTTTGGTTTACAGCTTGTTCTGATTGACTCTGGAACTTGGAGGCCAGAATCTCTGCCATGGCACTGACCTTGACATTGCCTTCAATGTCAATCTTATTTTGATTACTGATGTCCTTGAACTTCTGATTCATGTCAAGTTTATTAGCAATCTCCTCCATTGGCAGTTTGTTATATTTCGTTAACTCTACTTCTGTCTTCTCAAAATGCTGAAAAATATAATGACTTGTTTTTCTTAAGCGATATAAATGTTTGTATCCCCATGACAACGGAGTACAAATGAAGGGTTAAAATTACCCCTAATATTTAAATGTTTTTTTAATCAGTCCAAAATACTTCAAATTTCACATAGAAATAGTTCTGACATAACCAGTCAGGAGCGTTACTTAAACAAGTTATTTTTTGGGGTTACTTATATAGGTAATTTTTGTTTTTAAAAATTATAAAATTACTCAATAGAGTTATTTTAATTTTCAATAGAAGCATGGACTAAATGTAGTTTCCATGAATTTTTACATCATTTTATATCATAAAATTAAGAATTTATTAAATTTGAGAGGAGTATAGAGATAAAGGGTTACTTTAAAAATAATGACAAAAATATTACTTGAATAAGTTATTTTATACATCTTTGAAAGAATTAGTAATAACACTTATTTTAGGAACAAATGTAATTGTTTTGGGTTACAAATTATAAATAACTTCAAGTCTTAATAAAATCACAGGTTTATATCTATTTATATCGGTCTACCTTCAAGATTTTCAAGGAAAATGATATTTTAATAGTCCCTAGAGACCAATCTTTGACCCAAAAGCGTGGATATGAAAGATTAGTGCGTCAGAAAGGCAATTAGTGTTTCAGAAGGATTAGATTTTATATTACATGGGAAAAATAACCAGATGACTTGTGAAAATTTGTTAAAGCTAGTAAAATCTGTATATTTGGACACCTATAAAAATAATATTTAGAAAAGTTACTTATATAAGTAATATTTAAAATAGCCTCGTTTTCAACATTACTTGTATAGGTAATTTTAAAAGTTACTTGTTTAAGTAATGCCCCTGACTGATAACTGCCGATACAAAATTAACATTTTGGCACATCACATTATAAACTACAATCTAATGACCCATTAATTAGGTGTTGTGTTGTAATGTCGGTTTTGGTCCTATTATTCCATAATTTATAATTTTTTAGCCTAATTTACTTTGGCTGCAACGCCAGATCCAGAAACGCTTTGTGTCTAAGAGATTGAATATGATTATTAGCACCTTTTGCTTACAGAATCATATGAAGTGTCCAAGATTTTCCGCAAGCTAAATTTTAGCTCTGAAAAATGCATAAAATCATCATATTTTGACAATATATCCAAAATGTGATTACTTTGGAGCCTATAATGTATTCTTATGAAAACAAATTGTTTACCTCGCATTAAGGCTTTTGAAATAGATCTATTTTGAACCAAATTACAGCCCTTCGAATATTTTATGATAAAGATGAAATTCAAAGCCATATTTGGCCAAAAGTGAACCTTGTACTTGTATGTAAATCAATCTTTTATTATTATACAGTGTATAAAAATTTGGTTCGAAGCGGATGAAAAAAAAACATTTTTCTTTTGAAATGATTTACAGCATTGTAAGGTGTGCCAATAATTTGTTTGTGGTTTAGTGTCGGCTGTTGTCTGCTCTATGGTCGGGTTGTTGTCTCTTTGACACATTCCCCATTTCCATTCTCAATTTTATTACTCATGAAAAATATCAAAATAAATCAAATTTATTAATAATCTTAAACACCTGTTTTCCTATTAAAATAAATCCAAATAAAAATTGTCTGCTTTTAGAGTGATTCAATTAAGGAATGACCCCTTACCTCTGGAGATTTATGTTTTCGTTTGGACAGAGAAGATTCAATGACTTTATCTTCATCTTTATCTTTTCTCTGGAATAAGATTACATGTTATTAATTCACAAACCTTGTAACTATGAAATACACTATAAAGTCCCTAAAAAAAATTCACTTCAAATTTTTTTTATCTGCAACTTGAAAAACAAGAAAAACAATATATATGTACAGGAAACCATTTAAAATAATCTTTTATATCTAAATAAAAAAACCTATGCATTCAGCACTGTTGTAATAATATTTTTTACTTTTTTTATTTACTTGGATTATTACATTTTAAGTCCCACTTTGCTTTTATGCCATTTAGATAGCTGAATTCTATGAAACATACACATCATACAAAATTTTCTTTAAACACATTCTCTGTATATACACTACCTTTTTAGATCTGAATTTGGCACTATCTCTGTATATACACTACCTTTTTAGATCTGAATTTGGCACTATTTCTAAGTTTTTGAAGTATTGACAGTCTACTTAAAGGAGATTTGTGGGATTTCTGTGGCTCATCTCTCAACAACACAGTACTGGAAGATTCAGCTAAAATTATATTTATAAAATACAAATAAAGACATAATCAATTTGCACGACATATTTTATAATTTTTATTTCTTCTTGGCACATTTATACCACATACCTAATAACAATGTATACACCATTCAAAATTAACCTTTAATATAGGTTGTTTCAAGTAAGAATCCTAGAAAATTAAGACAGGAGTCGATTGCGTCTGCCACTTGAAGGATTCAAACTCACAACCTCAGTGTTGACAGAGGGGCAATTACTGTAGATAAAGTCCTTAGACCCTTATGTCACCAAGGCCCAAGATGAACATAACCAAAAGTACAACACATTCAGAAATTAGTGCAATGCTTTTATTACTATGTTTTATTATTAAGACATAGTTAATAATTCAATAATTAAAATCAATGAATTTAAATTTATGCCAGTTATATACTGCTTCGTCATTTAACTGAGTAATTTCACAAAGATTAAGTTTGTCAAAGACCAGAATTAATTATCCTATTAAATTCTAAAAGCTGTAATCATAATACATGTTACATGCACTCTTCACGCTTAGCCACAGGCCCAGCAGCCCAGGCTTGCAAAATTGCCTTCAGGCCTGTAAAAATCAGCTTCACATGCCAATAGAATCTAACTAAAATTTTCCAAAAATTAAGCTCCGGTCCTGTAGATTTAAAAGTTATCGTGAAGACTGCATGTACAGCAATTTACAATTCATACCATTTGCAAGTCTTTCCTTCTTGAATTTATGATAGAACTGAGACAGAAACGAGACCATGGTGAGTTTGTCAGGAAGGGAACAGTTCATCATCTCCTGCGGTGTCATCATAGGCTTTATACCTAGTGAAGATTCTGCCACGGTGAATGCTAACTGGTTATTCTGGACTGGTTCGTTAGATAATAATGATTGGAAATCTCTGAAAATATATTAATATAAATCAAAGTATGCTTTTTTCTTTCATTAACAAATGTATAACACTGGTTAGGGCTGTTCCAGATCGAAACACATTGAGGATGGGAGGCACTCAAATTAATTAATTGTGGGTGGTTCCATTTTCTTTGGAATTTTGTATGAATTATAAGTAAAATGAAAATTTATATTTATGGGTGGTCAGGGTCTTAAAAAAAGTGTCTCTCATGTCCCATGTGTTTCATACTGGAACAGCCCTTAATATTCCAGACAACTGGTAAGAAAATATCTCAGTTGACAGTTGACCTTTACCTGTTGTTGTTGGTTTGATGTCTCGTGGACATTTTTCTGTTTACATTTTCTTTCTGCTTATTTATTTTGATCTATTACACCTTTTTTGTATTTATGTTCCTACTCTATTTAATGCATTTTGCTATTTGTACGTTTGGCCTCAATGGTACCTCAAACAGTTTGACACAAATATACACATCTTTGTCAATCGATAGTTATGGATAGTTGTCTCATTTGCAATCATACTACATCTCCTTTATTTTCATATATAAGATATAAATAATTTTGTTTAATCATGTGTTTAGTGATTTAACACTTTCAAGGTGTTGACTCTATTTGTTATGCTATGCAGTTCACTTTAACACATTTTTCCTCTTTATTTGGTTTGTGTAAGCCATACTAAGGATCCATTATTATTCACGGGATACCAATTTTCATGGATTTTGTTGGTATAAGTGAACCACAAATTAAAATGTTCAACAAAGTACAAATTTTCTATAAGCTTAACTTGCAAGTCTTTCCTTTAAATTTTCTATAAGCTTAACTTGCAAGTCTTTCCTTCTATGCAGACTTTGGCAAAACCACAAAATTAAACATCAACGAAAAAACATTTTTTTCTAAATCCACGAAAATAAGAGAATCTGCAGTATTCCATTTACTTCCACTTACATGAGATCAGGTTTAAAGTAATGTATAAGAGCACAAAGAGCCAGTCCACTCCTCCAGGATGCTGTCAGATCTATTACGTGTACATTTCGATACGACCCATTGTTCAATACTCTCTGACACCAGCGTAATAGGGAATAACTGTCAATATACTCATCTAAAACGAAAACAATTAATCAATCAATGTGGAAAAAAATCTTGTTTAGATTTCAATGCTGATTTTTTACTGTTTGCAAAAAACTAGAAAAAATCCCATTAGTTCTAATCAAATCAAAAGGATGATGATGATGATGGATGGCAGATTAAATGCATATTCAGGATGTATAATATAAATACTAACCCTGTTTTGTACTGGACAAACACACTGAGCTTTGTTTTTAATGTGCTCTTTCACAATGTGACATTCTCAAGGAAGCCATGTCACCCTACCAAAACACATTATTCTGATTCTAAGCCCACTGGTCTTTGCTCTTACTCCTCAATTTGCATTGCTTAGTTGAAGAGCAGCAAAAAAGCAGCAAATACCAATTTTAAAGTCTTAGGTTTGACTCGGCAAGGGTTCCAACGCACAACCTCTTGCATTCAAGATTAACAACCTACCATGAAACCATCGAAGCGATCTAATCAGAAGGAAATGTCTGATGATTTGTTTCTCTTTTTTTTCCTAGAAACCATAGAAATTTCATATAATGATTTGCTTCAATGAGTTTATCCATGACTTAAAATGCATCAATGCATAGTATAAAGCAAAGTCGGCCTGTTTGGTTAACTATAACAGACTGCCTTGTGAAATCTCTTATCTTTTCCAACATGTGATGAGGGTAAATCTAATATTCATAGATGACATAAAATAAATCAATCCATTTTCATTACAGTTTCTAATCATTTTTGCTATTCCTGTCAATTCAGCAATTCCTTCAAAAGTTTCAATACAGTAATGGGACTAAATATTTCAGTGGATATTTTGTACATTGTACATGGACAAGACTGAAAATTCAGAAATTATTGCAAGTATTTTTATTAATGCTAATAATGTGACTGGGTGAGAGCATCACAATCTAAGAACTCACATTCTGATCAATCTCGCTATATTGTCCATTCTTAAAAAAAATTAAATAATTTCTGAACTTACAGTAACATGTCTAAAAGTTTTCAAATTCAATGAATAAATTCTCACCATTCCTTGGTCGTTTAGCAGGTACCTCTATAATTTCATCACTGTATGTACCATCTCCTGTGTCATATAAATGCCTTACTTGTTGTGGTAACACTGTCCTCATGTTCATATTGGAATATCTAAATGAAGAATATTGTTTTAAAACTGCTTAATGGAATATATACATATGGACAGAACGTTCAAATACAGAAATCCATAAATTCTGGAAAACATTCATGCATGAATACTATATCTATTTTCCTTGGAACTCTAGTTTATCAGGTGTTTTTTTTAGCTTAAGGGCTGTTCCATATAAACAGACATGCTACACATGGGAGGCAACTTGAATTGGCAACTATGGCTAGGAGTGAAATATTATGTTAATGGATGCAGGTCTGTAAAATTGATTCTATAGGTTACCCTATTTTTTCAATGTGCCTTCTACATGTACAATGTATATTTTAATGGAACATCCTTTATACATTTTTTATTGCTATAAAGGTATTTTAAGAAAATTTCAATCTCAAAATTTACACCAGAAAATGTCTACAAGGTGGAGAAGTACACATATAGTTTTGAGTTTCAGATTAATTAAAACTGGTTTTTTTCATAAGACATTTCATGTAGATGACTTTGTCAAAGAATTATTTTTACCTTGTATTTTGATCAAAGTTCTAATCACAGTCTTTTTTGTTGATATTTGTATATCAGTCCCTGAGGGTATCATTAGCTCAGTAGTCAGTACTTAGGTACTGACATGATTTATTATAAACCTTTCTAAAATTGTCCATTCATAAATTTTGAAATCATAAAGAGACAAAGGTTTCAACTCCCTCAGGCAAACTTGACCTTAGATGGATTTGGCTATTTTTTTATGCCATTTTTGATGGTATAGCTCTTCAACTTTCTTGGCCTTCAAATATTCGGCTTTGAGCATTCCTGATGAAGGTAAATCAATAAAAGTTTTGAATAATAATTTACTTATTCATTGTTACTGTTTAGACAAGTAGCATAATTGCATAAATTATTTTTGACATTTTCTATAATAATTTACCTTGTATTGGGATCTAAGGTAAATAATTTTTGACATTTTCCATAATAATTTACCTTGTATTGGGATCTACTGTAAATTATTTTTGACATTTTCTATAATAATTTACCCTGATTGGGATCTAAGGTAAATTATTTTTGACATTTTCTATAATAATTTACCTTGTATTGGAATCTACAGTAAATTATTTTCGACATTTTTCTATAATAATTTACCTTGTATTGGAATCTACAGTAAATTATTTTTGACATTTTCTATAACAATTTACCTTGTATTGGAATCTAAGGTAAATAATTTTTGACATTTTCCATAATAATTTACCTTGGATTGGGATCGAAGGTAAATTATTTTTGACATTTTCTATAATAATTTACCTTGTATTGGGATCGAAGGTAAATTATTTTTGACAATTAATATAATAATTTACCTTGTATTGGGATCTAAGCCATACTCAGTGTAATTTTTGTTAAGATTTTCCGGAGTAGTCTGAGATAACACTTGGTAAATACTTTCTCTCTCTGCAATGACTTGTAATGGTGTCATCTTCCCAGAAGCCCAGTTCTTTACCATCCATGCTGCATCAAATCCTCCCAGAAAACCTCGGGCGCAACCTGAACCTGTAGGCCAGAAAGGCTGAAAAAGAAATAGTAAACTGTTCACTATGTGTGTAAAATGTAAATACATTTAAAAACAGACTGATGTTTAGGTCAAACTTAAAGTGAATACGTTTTTATAATTGATGCATATGCAATAGTTAAGATGTATTCCATTTTGTAGAGACAATTTTCTTCTGTTCCTTATAAATTTCAGAATTCAAGTTTTGCAGAGTTAACCCTGTAAAAATATCTATTTGGGAAAATGACTGTTTACCTTTCTTGGTGAATGTTGAACCATTGTGAAATCACTTAATTAAATTTCAATCTATCACATGAAAAGTTGTGTGCACTTTATTTTCATTATTCAATGATAATAATAAACTACCAGAGTTTAGAAAACAGCCTAAGCTTGATTGGTTCTCTTTGCAGTGGTTCACGCTATATCTCACATCTAGTTAAATGGATGTATAGTACTAAGATACAAATATAAATTAAGTTTTCAACATATACAAACCTCTAACAAGCTATCTCCCACAAGACAACTGAGTAATGTATGACCATTTCTTTTAACAGCCCTGCAAGCATTAACTGCAGCAAACATGGATGTGAAGTCAAACATGGCGACATCTGGTTGCCCATAATGGTTAATGGCATAGTCTAAATGAGGAAGAAGTTGATTGGTGGAGAAATCAGCAGCCTCTTTGGCATAGTTCAGTAATTTGTCTTTACATACGTTCTGCTGTGATAACAGTGTGGCTGTGTCTGGGTGATCCTACAACACAGAACACCATAATGTGACACAGGTAAATAATGCCATGACAAAATGACACAGGTAAATAATGCCATGACAAAGTGACACAGGTAAATAATGCCATGACAAAATGACACAGGTAAATAATGCCATGACAAAGTGACACAGGTAAATATTGGCATGACAAAGAGACACAGGTAAATAAGACATGACAAAGTGACAAGTAAATGATGGCACGAGAAACAGACACAGACAAACAAGGCCATGACAACGTGACACAGGTAAATAATAGCATGAGAAAAGGACACAGATAAATAATGCCATGACAAAAGGACACAGATAAATAATGCCATGACAAAAGGACACAGATAAATAATAGGGATATAATCTAACAACAAACTATCTATTTTAAATGAATTTCAAAAAGCCCAACACCAAATAAATTACAGTTGACAGAAAAAACATATAATCTATCTTAATTTGCATATTTGAGATAGTAAATATAGACATTCAAATATGATATTACACAACTGAATTTTAGGGCTTAAACTAAGGCCTTCTGGCCCTTCTCCTTTAGTTTCTATGTGATCCAAAAGAAGTACAATAACATAATGAATATTTATGTAGCACAACATCTTAGTGGTAGCTGTTGTTTGATACTTTGTTTCCTGTGACATTAACATGGAAAGGGAAAAAAAAAATCTTATCTGCTTTTATAAATAATAAAGATGGTAGTTTTCACAAAATGAATAAGTATTTGTTCATTGCCAACCAATGATATATAAGAATAATGGACACATTCATAAAATTTATGGTTAAGCAGTTTTCGTTGTCACTAACTTTTGTTAAATGCACATTTGAAATGATCTGAATTGTTTTGATAATACAATAGGCAACAGGAGCCTGTACTTCTGTGGTTGCCATTTGTTGCTGTATATCATATTTGTATTTTGTTTATTGTATTGTAAATAAAAAGGCCATTAGTTTATTGTTTGAATTGTTTTACATTTGCCACTTTGGAGCCTTTTAAAGCTTGCTATGAGGTATGGATTTTTTTTTTATTGTAGAAGGCTATACATTGACCTATAATTGCTTTTATCTTTGTCATTAGAACTCTGGTAAATAGTTGTCTACTTGGCAATCATACCACATCTGCTCATTTTTTTTTACACCCCACCACTACTACCAACTACAGAGTGTTACAAACCTGCAAAAGAACTCCTTTATCCAGAAGACTAGATTTTTTAGCTGTCATAACAAAATAATGAGTGTCATCTTTATAATAAACAATATTTTCCAGATCAATTCCAGTCTTTTCATTTAGATCTTTGAAGAATTTTTGGTTAAATATAAATGCTACACCACTGATTTCCTCCACACGGGCCTCTTGTTGTGAATTACGGTTAATGAAATTGGCTGTGATGGCTATGGCAAGTTTTCCTCGAAATTCTTTCCTCTTGAATCCTGATAAAAAAACAAAAGTTATTAGTTTTTTATATTTCAATTGACTTATAAGAGAAATCCGATTGATTATGGAACTTTAACACCACTTTCTAAATATCAACATTTTGATGCATTAATATAGCTTTAACTGACTTCTGTGGCCTAACCTTCTCTATAAAGCTTATTATACCGGAGGTTATCCTTGTATATAGTTACAACATTAATAGTACCCATTTTATTGCACCAGATGTCATTTCAACAATACATTTCTAGATGCTACTGCTCACTGATGATACCCTCGCCCAAATACTTGACGGTAAACAGGAAGTTGTTGAGTGATGAATCTGAAAACGCATCACACAGTATAGCTGACTTATATAAACCCTGAAACCAAATTTCAGAAATCCTTGTAGTGTAGTTCCTGAGAAAGATGCGACGAAAAATATTCATGGGACGGACGGACGGATGGATGGATGGACGGACAGACAGAGGTAAAACAGTATACCCACACTTTTTTAAAGCGTGGGTATAATTAAACTATAGGGTTTTTGTCATGTATTTAAGATTATGAGGTTCTTTAATATTTATTACTTCTTTTCTTATAATTAATGATACAATTAATATCAGTGAAAAGTACTGTGGATACAATTTTTGTAGATTGAGGAAAAATTGTAAGTTTGTAGATTTTAGATTTCGTGGTTTTAGACAAAGTTTACTTATAAGCCCATAGTAAATTTGACATTTAAATTTGTGGTTCACTAATACCTACCAAATCAACAATAATTGGTATCCAACGAATAGTAATGAATTCACAGTAATATGATCATTATTTGGAGAAAGCTAAAAGTAAACTTACCCTGCAGTGTATTTCTTTTGCCATCAGCTCCAATTAACACATCAAATTCAAACTCAGCGACAGGACTATCTTCTGGTGTAATTTTAGCCCTCCATCCTGTTTCTGTAAATACAATCATTATATTTCAAATACATGTATATTCAATTAAAAGGAAAAAAATGTAACATTCATAAAGTTTTGTTCTCATATATTTTGGCTAAATATTTCATTACTCCTCTGTAATTTTCATAGGTTATGCATTAAAAACATTTTCCCAGCAACCCTTACATTTATCAATGTTTGTTGGGGCCCGTTTGAATAGTTTTACACTAGTAATTTTTGGGGCCCTTTATAGCTTGCTGTTCGGTTTGAGCCAAGGCTCTGTGTTGAAGACCGTACTTTGACCTATAATGGTTTACTTTTATAAATTTTGACTTGGATGGAGAGTTGTCTCATTGGCACTCATACCACATCTTCTTATATCTATTGTTGGGAGCCTCGGTGGTCAAGTGGTCAAAGTATTTAATTTACAGTGATCACTAGCCTGATCAACTTTGAGGTTGCGAGTTCAAGCCCTGCTCATGGCTAAGTGCATTCAACCCCGATCTTATTGACTATGATTTCCATTTTTCCTGCTGAAGTTCCTTGGTTCTCCCCGAGTTCTCACACTTTCTCCACATATAAACACTAGCAGCCATGAAATATAAGAGTGCTAAAAGTGGTGTTAAACTCCAACAATCAATCAATCAATCACAATTAATTTCAATTTCAAACAAATTTTCAAATTCTTGTTATTTCTTATATATTTTGCCATACAGATTAACATCCACTTCTTTTCATATATATATTTCATATTAAAATTTAAAAGTCAAATCAAGCTATATTTTTGATAGAAGTTGAGAAGAAAATAAGTGTTTCATATTCATACTGAAAATGTCTGACAGAAGTTAGTGTATTTAATAAGTTTATAGTTTTGAATGACATTTACACACTGTAAATTCCGAAATTATTGCGTGCATTTATTATTGCGATTTTTGAAGAATGGACAAAAATACAAGCTTTATCATTGCGATTTCATGAATATCTGCATACATAAGTATGTACATCATACATCAGAATGCAAGTTCCAATTATTGCAATACTAACCCAGTCGCTTTATTCACATTAATAAAAACATCACAATAATTTGCAGTAGTCTGATAAAATGTGCATCATCGGCAGCACTGATATCTTACAGCTGTTAAACAAAAAAGTACATGGGTTTTTTATAATGCATTTTTTCATCAGATCCACCACCAATCGAACTCTACTTAATTACACCTTACCAGTACATTTATATAACTATCCTTAATTTTGATTTGTTGATAACTAGTATATTTTTTATGGTTTTTCTTCTATCAAATGAATTTTGTTGAATTCACTTTAAATACCTTTCTAAAATTCTTTTTGAAGTTCTTTTTGCTTGATCATTACTACATTTTCACAAATATGCAATTTTAATGATTTTTTTTTCACATCATGATTCATGAAATAAATATGTCATTTTATTCATCATTTTGAAAAACTGAAAATAAAAAAAATTGCATGTATATAAGCAGATTATGCACATTAAATCAGCATCAATGGAATAAACCTTACAACCGTTAAATCCAATCAATAACTATTGTAATGTCATCAAACTCTGGATAGATCACCCTTCAGTGTAAGCTATACCAAGTAGAAGATCCTAGAGGTCAATAACATAACTAATAACCTGGACAATGATTGATCTAAGGTGAAAGAAGAAATTACTGACCAGGTTATGCTGGTCACTTCAATTATCATTCAATCAATATTAGATGTAATCCTATCAACTAATTATTATATGTTTATTAGTGTACCAGTTTCTTCCCAAGTGATTGAATCTGAATCAAAACACTAACTGGGTTTAACAGGATTAAAAGTTATATTGATATCAAAGGATATTCAGTGCAATAGAACTAATTTCTATCCTATACAATTGATTCAATATAAAATAGCTAATAGATCATGAAAATGATCTATAGGGCATTCAATTAGGCTTGTAACAACACAGACTTGACACAGATCTTTATCCTTCAGAAGAGAATTACTCTACTATTTATTAGTAGCGTCATTTCCGTTTTACTATGTATATTCACACTGACTGATTGTTCCATCGGTGATTCAACCAAGACATCAATGAAAAGTCTCTACTCAAAGAAAGAGTGAAGTCTATGTGTACATCAATATTCCTTTCATTAATATTTCTTATCTCAAAGACTGTACTGACAAACCTCAATATTATTACCAATAGTTTTTTTCTGCACTGAGGACAGTAGTTAATTATAATATGAATAAATATCATTTTCCATGGAGCATGCTGTTCGATTAATCTGTTTAATTGGTTATAATTTTTTTATTTTTCAGTTGATTCCCAACACTATGTTCCATGGAAACCCTCTTGCTCTAATTCTCTACTGATTGCTTATTTTCTTTATCCTCAATTTATTGTTTAATTGTCCTCAGATGATAATTGTTCCAAACATTTTTATTGGTATTACAGGAAAGGCATATTGGTCTACATATATCATCTAAAACTCTAGGGAAACAGATTCTAATACTGCCATCTTGTAAAATATAATTTTTTGCTTTTCTTGACATCACAATTTCAACAAGCATTCTGAGAGTATTGCATGGCTACACATAGTTCCCTACCAGTTAAAACCTCATTGTACTGGAACAATATGCTAAGTTGATCTATAACTTGTCATGGTGTAAACTATATAACAAATATCAAGTCAATATCTTCAAACATGAAGACAAAAAGTGTGGAAAACTGATTATTTAAGTGAATTTTCCAAGTCCAAGGACCATAACTCTGCACAAAATTATCAGACCGGAACAAAATTTGAACTTGATCTGTAACTTGTCATGATAAAACAATATACCAAAATTCAAAAAAATATCTTCAAGCACGAAGATAAAAAATGTGGAAAGCTGATTTGCCGGACTGACGGACGGACAGACAAACAGACAGACGGAGTGCAAATATAAAGTCCCCGTCGACTTCGTCGGTAGGGGACTAAAAATTTGAAAACCCTATAGTGTTTTCAAAGTTTTGGAACTTAAATACCTCAATAAATATGTTGATGTACAACATATGTATATATACTCTTTACTTACTGTGAGATTGGTCTGTGGGTGGCACTATCAAGCCATCAAATGAGGTATTGACATGAATATCTACACCAAGGAGGAGGGCAACCTATACTCACTGTGAGATTGATCTGTGGGTGGCTCTATCAAACCATCAAATGAGGTATTGACATGGATCTCTACACCAAGGAGGAGGGCAACCTATACTCACTGTGAGATTGATCTGTGGGTGGCTCTATCATTCCATCAAATGAGGTATTGACATAAATCTCTACACCAAGGAGGAGGGCAACCTATACTTACTGTGAGTTTGCTCTGTAGGTGGCTCTATCAAGCCATCAAATGAGGTATTGACATGGATCTCTACTCCAAGGAGGAGGCCTAGGCTACCTATACTTACTGTGAGATTGATCTGTGGGTGGCTCTATCAAGCCATCAAATGAGGTATTGACATAAATCTCTACTCCAAGGAGGAAGGCAACCTATACTTACTGTGAGATTGATCTGTGGGTGGCTCTATCAAGCCATCAAATGAGGTACTGACATGGATCTCTACTCCAAGGAGGAGGGCAATCTATACTTACTGTGAGATTGATCTGTCGATGGCTCTATCATTCCATCAAATGAGGTATTGACATGGATATCTACTCCAAGGAGGAACGCAACCTATACTTACTGTGAGATTGCTCTGTAGGTGGCTCTATCAAGCCATCAAATGAGGTATTGACATGGATCTCTACTCCAAGGAGGAACGCAACCTATACTTACTGTGAGATTGCTCTGTAGGTGGCTCTATCAAGCCATCAAATGAGGTATTGACATGGATCTCTACTCCCAGGAGGAGGGCAACCTTCATGAGTATACATTGTAACTGTCTGATGCCTACAAATTCATGAAAAGATAACAATGAAAGTTTTTATTTTAACACCATATCATGAAAATATGACAGGCGCATTACTTTTTTTTTTTTTAAATAATGAAGGTATTGTTGGAGAGACAAGTTAAACATTCAAACATTTTGTGATTAGGAATAAATGACTTCCAAAGTATCAATTCACTCAGTTTTAATATAAAAATCCCTGCAAAATCAAGTATAAATATCTTTTTACAGTGGTATAATTAGTAAGATCAATTTACACTGTTCTAACGATTTTTCCAACATTAACACAGAAGAATCTTGAATCTCAGATACAAGAATACCAATTAAGTAACCAAACAAATTATTACTTACTGATGTGGTCTATGGCACCAGCACAAAATTTTCCAAAAAACTTTTTGGCCCCAAGATTTTTGAGATCAGTGATAAGGAATGGCCAGAGATGGAGTACATTGTTTCGTGAGAAACTGTCTCTTTTTTCTACCACTACAACCCTAGCTCCAAGTAATACTAATTCTATAGCAGTCCTCAGTCCACATGGTCCAGCACCTATTACCAACACCTGCACAAGAAAAGAAATTTAATTTTCTTTAAAATATCATTATTTAATCAATCTTTTTTTTTTCTAAAATATTTAAAATACTTCTAACAAATGTCTTTTGTTAAATACATTGCACATTTTTTCAATGTAGACAAAATTTTGAATGTTTGCTAAACCTCCATCAATTGGGGGGATAAAAACTGAGAGTTACATAGTGATCATATAGTGATAGAGTAAATATTTCAGAGTTCACTTTAAACAGGAATTTAAAGCACATTGCATTAATCAGAAATAAACTGCTTCGCTGAGTGCAGCTGGATACGCCCGCAGAGGTCCAACCCTGAACAGTTGGGGCATAAATGGACACAATATTCAAGCTTGATACAGGTCTGAATTTGGATTGTATTAAATATTTGACATATTATAGGTTTCTGAATAAATGTAGTCAAAGAACTTGAAATTAGTTATATGAATTGAATTTATATTCAATTAAAGATTTCTTGCTGTTTTGCAATACACTGTGGTGTTGCGCAACACAAATAGTAAATCTGTTGTCAGCCTATAAACAAATAAAGTTCAATTAATTCTCAATGTCATATTAGAAATTTATGAAAATGTAAAGGGAGCTTACATCAATAGGTATAAACAATTCACCAAAGTTTCATGAGAATTGCTGACAGCATTTTTGAGTTATTGTCTGAAAACTGGAAAATCACCCCTTTTTTAATGAATAAAACCCCATAACTCAGAAATGTAAAATGTAATATTTATAAAATTCTAAACGGAGCTTACATCAATAGATATAAACAATTCACCAAAGTTTCATACGAACTGGTGAAAGCATTTTTGATTTTTTGTCTGAAAACTGGAAAATCCCCCTTTTATTATGAATAAAACCCTGTAACTCGGAAACGTAAAATCTAAAATATATAAAAATCGAAAGGGAGCTCATGTCAATAGATATAAACAATTCACCACAATTTCTTGCAAGTTGGTGAAAGCATTCTTGAGTTATTGTCCGAAAACTGGAAAATCACCCTTTTTTTAATGAATAACTTTTAATGAATAAAACCCCACAACTCGGAAACGTAAAATCTAAAATTTATAAAAAACGAAAGGGAGCGCACGTCAATAGATATAAACAATTCACCAAAGTTTTATGCAAATTGGTTTAATGGTTTTTGAATTAATGTCCGACATGTTGAAGACGGACAGACAGACGGACAACGGTATACCATAATACGACCCGTAAACGGGCATATAAAAAATAATGATGTAGACAGTAATCTCATGGGTTGTGTGAAGAAAGTCTTCTTTGTTTCTCATATCTTTTTCTACAAGTTCTCACTGTGTTTTGATGTAACGTAAGAGGAGACTAAACAAGTTTTATATCACATATTAGGTATATGATTTTATTTGACTGGTATTTCATTACAATCAATTTAATAATTAATTTAATTTAACCAATTTGTCATTAAAAAAAATGGCAAAGTTTTCTTTAAACAAAAGCCATTTCAAATCAGAGATAAATCTATTCTTGCAGGAATAAATCCAAACTAGTTTCTATCCATTTTTAGCATCATCGACTTACATTTGTATTAGCACAGGCTTCTCCCCTACGATATTCCTTCCTGGAAGCATGCTTGTCAAGTTTAACCCAGATATTCTGAGCCTTCCAGAAGTTTATCTTAGATTTCAGTCTACGATAAAAGTTGGCGTGCGTGTCATGTTTCAGTCCTGCTGCATCACAGAGGTCATGGAATGTAGATAATACGGATTTACACGTGCCTGCCTTGGTGAAGTTTTCAAACTGCCAAGCCAACGAGGCAGCCTCACCTCCATTCATACTGCATGTCTGTTACCTGGAAATAAAAAGATAAAAGATATAAATATTGTTGATACACATACGGAGTTCTAATAAATATGAATACTCTTATTCTGGTATTACATTGAATTCATTCTTTCTTTTTCATGGGTACCAGTTTTCATGGATTGATAACACATTGTATTTTAGTGGATATTAGATTTCATGATTTTGTCAGTCTGCATGCGAACCTTGTGAAACTTTGTACTTTGTTGATATATAATGAATCGACAGTACAAACCATTGTTTGTGACTTTTACCAATGTTTATCAAATCTGTCATGGTGTGTAATTTGACTTACTTTTTTATTAGTGCTTTTTTGAAAAAAGATAACTTTTAATTCTTAGGAAAACAGTTTATATGTAAGTATTTCGTAAAATTCTAAATTTATTTGTATTCAATTAACTTTTAATTTTACAAAATACAAACATTATAAACTTTCTTCCTAAATTAGTGAATATTTGGTTTTTTTTTTTTAAATAACACTAACAACAATATAAGCCAAATCACACACCATGACAAATCAAATATGTAACTATGTTACTGGGGATCAAAATATCACGACATCATTTGATTTCAAATTAAATACAGAAATAGATACTTTTATGATTCAACAACAAAACGTAACTTTTTCACAAGGAAGCAAGGAGGTTTATCCAATGCACTTTGTACTTTCTACAGATGTTATGTTTCTGGAAGGTTAATACGAGGTTTAATTTTCACTCACACTTCCCTGTAATTTCACAGATAACGCAACATATGTTTGCATACATATTGAAAAGATATACCTTGTAAAACTACACATTTCATTTAATAAATGTTCTATCTAAACCTGTCTATTACATTTAGTATAATATGTTATGTCTGGCAATATCAACACAATTCAAGATGATGAATCTTATTGAAATAAAACTACCATGTCATAATAAGAAAGTATATAAATAACTCCAGGCACATGTGTGTTTCTGTTTGTACAAGAACAATGCAATCTGCTTTTCAAATGACTCGCAGAACAATGCATTCTGCATTTCAAATGCCTCCCAAGTGACTTTCTAAAATGAACAAAGGTCTATATATTAATATATCCGCCAAAGGAATCTAACAGGGAAAATAACAGAGTTTATCAAATTTTGGATTCAAAGCTTTCATTTGAATATCATATTTCATTTGATTTTGAATCAACTAGACACAGATTTTTTAAACTCCACAAGTGGATATACATGTATTTAACTCAGTAACAAGATATTTCTTTCTGTAACAATTTGTATAAATAGGTTGTACATATATAAATGTACTTGGTAATTAGAAATTATAGATCTGAGGTTTACTGAAGCTGCCAGCTGCTTTATTTTGTTACCAATGCCCAATATTAAAACCAGATGTCTGCAATAGACACAAGGGAGATTTTCTAAAAAAAATTCTAAAATGCAAAAAAATAATAAAAAAGAGGAAAGATACCAAAGTCAGAGAGAAACAAATAAGACCATGACCAAATGGAAAAAAGGTGAAAAGACAAGAAATAATGTTCTTTAAGAACTTTATATCCATTCTTTCTCCAGGTTATTTGAAAGAGAAAGCATCAACAAAAAAAATTCTGCTACATTATGATAGAATAGAGAATGGAAACGGGGAAAGAGTTAAAGAGACAACAACCCAACCAAAGAGCAGAAAACTGCCGAAGGCCACCAATGGGTCTTCAACGCAGCGGTGGGCTTCAGCTGGCCCATAAACAATAATCTTTACTAGTTCAGCAAAATGGACGCTACTATGACGCTATGATGGCTAAAGTAGGACAGATCGATTATTGGGAGGGACTAAATTATTCGTGTTAAGAAAGCACTTGCTTGAATATCATAAAGTAATTTCTCTTGATTAAACTGAAGACAAAGTAGCATAAATGTAAACTGTTGACTATCTCCACTCAAACTATCCTTTAATATAATGTAAACAATTATTGATACAGTATATACTGTAACTTGTCAATTTCCCTGATGGAACAATTATGTTTTGTTCAAGAATTGCAATAAGTGAAGCACATGTGGTTAAAATAAGTAATTATTTACATAGGCGACAATTATCAGGTAGCCTTTTTGGGTCCTGCGTTTTCACTATAAAAGATCCGTTGATAAAACTGTCACATTCTGAATTATCAACACCTTTGGGTGTGAATAAAACTGTAAAACACATATGGTGACGCAGCTTTTTTGATAGAAAAATTGCATTTTTTAAGGGTACTCAACGTTTCCGGAATTTTCGAAATAGTATGAATGAAGAACACCCCTTGCTTAATTTTGCACAGAAAATGTTGCTCGTCACAGAGAGCTTCCTCCAAATTTCTCGCTTTTTCTACACCAATGGCCAACACTCATTTCTCACTATTTCAATTTTGTTTTCTAATTACCAGGGCAGCAGAAAATAAATTTAATTCTACCTATTATCTTAGGTGTAAAATCTAGGTTGCGCAAGTCATCTTTAATTACTTCCTTTAAACTTGTAAACACTGAGTGAAAGGTGAAACAATGGTATATAACTGGTATTACAAACCATCACAAATTATTACTTCCCGACTTTAGGATAGAATGTGCTACTACTAATTTATTGCTTGATCTATTGTTGCTGGCTTTACATCCGTAGCTTATGAGGAAAGGCAAAATACACTGCCTAGAGAGGAAGTATAAGGACGTTAATTTACAATGTGACTGGAAGTTTGGTACCCATAGCACCTTTTTACCATGTGACTGGAAATTTGGTACCCATAGCAGTCCTACTATGTGCATGGAAATTTGGTACCCAAAGCACCTTCCTACCATGTGACTGGAAATTTAGTACCCATAGCACCTTCTTACCATGTGACTGGAAATTTGGTACCCATAGCACCTTCTTACCATGTGACTGGAAATTTGGTACCCATAGCACCTTCTTACCATGTGACTGGAAATTTGGTACCCATAGCACCTTCTTACCATGTGACTGGAAATTTGGTACCCAAAGCACCTTCCTACTATGTGACTGGATATTTCCATTTTATGAAGCTAATTTGAACCCCTGACTTAGTTTCAGTAAGGGAAGCTCAGTACAAGAAACATTATAATCCTATGTGTGAATCTACATGTATCAAAACACTTTCCATTTAACCCACTGTGTAGACAGCATAGGAAAAGACGTACAAGGTGGTTTTAAAAACAGTCTTGCCATAAAAATTTCCCATTCATTTCTGCATACAGCAAGTTAAAAATTTGATCAATTATTTTTTACATCCACTTAATGAACTTCAAATTCAATTTTTTTTCAATCACACAGAAAGCTATGCATACTGAATGAAAAGGGGCTGTTTTTTTCCTTCCCAAGTCAAACATTTAAATCTTATATCAAATGCACATTCCATTGATCACAATACTAGATGATTTTTCACATTCCATCGATCACAATACTACATGATATTTCATAACTTACAATACAATATGACTGCACTTTTAAGAGTGATCCTTTTTACATGTAATATGTTTGTATATTAACAATGCTTGATCTCTGCCCTTTGGGGAAATTTTATTATCAATCTTGCTTATAAAAAACAAATCAATTTTTAAAATGTAGATCATAAAATAAAATTTCCTTGGGCAAAAAACCAAACCAATAAACTGATTCCTTTAAAAAAATATATGAAATATTACCTCTGAATGACTTTCAAGTACTTATTATCAACTAAAGAAAGGGATTATTATTTAAAGGGTGAGGTAATTGCTTTCCACCTTGTGTATATTTTGTCTACATTATAAATTCAAATAACAATAAACATACACATTTATTTTAATGCAAAAGCACAAATATTTTTTGTGATGCAGTCTGTCTGCCTGAAAGGGTCTCTAAACTTTTCCTTTCAACTTTATAAATATATGTTTATTAAATTTATTTACAAATACTTGATGCATTAAGAATGCAATATAATAAAGATAAATATTTCCTTATATAATGGCCCAACTTATTAAAATGTTATATAACGTCTATATGTATGAATCTCGTCCAAATGTGAACTGCAATATATTATTATATACTAGTATTATACAGTTAAGCCTTCTTAATTGATTTTTAATGTAAAACATACATTCCTTTATGTACCTTCAGTTTTCAGCTGATCAAGGTTAAAATGGAAACGTTTGAAGGCTCAATTAACTAATACATCTCTGTCAATTGTTCATATGCCTTTCTGAAATCACAAATCTTGTCACTGGTGGCTTTAAAAAGAGAAAGACGATACTGAAGAGGCTGCTATGATGATTCAAATATCATAAGTCCAATAAAAACAGACAATACCACAACCAAAAATAAAAACAACAAAAAGACAAACAACAATATCAGAACATCACATAGAAAACTAAAGCCAGAGCAACTTAAAGTTAAACCAAACCAAAAACTGCAGGGTGACCTCAGGTGGTCTGAATGGGTAAGCAATTCTTGCTCCACATGTGGCACTCATGGTGTTGCATATTAAGTTACATTCTAATATTTTTTGTCCCTTATAGAAGTTCAAGTAGACAGCAGATCAGACAAATCTTTAAACGTCTGCTAAAATTATCAGCCACATTCCTCTACTCAGGACAATTTAGTGTGTGACATATTGTGTAGACAATTCACTGTTGTTACAGACAGTTTGTTGATCTTCGTATGGCTTTTGGTTAGTTCGTGTTGTTAAGTCAATGCCTAATCATCTTTATGATCATACATGAGGGGGGCCTCGGTGGCCGAGTGGTCTAAGTAGTTACTACTGTAATCACTAGCCAGTCAACATTGAAGTTGTGAGTTCGAACCCCGCTCGTGCAGGTGCACTCTACTCCAATCTTAATTGACTAGGATTGTCAGTTTTCCTATCGAAGGTCGGTGGTTTTTTCTGGGCACTATGACTTCCTCCACCAATAAAAACTGGCCGCCACGAAATAGCCCTTAAGCGGTGCTTAAAAGTGGCGTTAAAACACAAGAAATCAAAAATCAAATCATACATGA